TTTCTGCCCTAATAATTCACTACAACTACAAATGAGCAAATGACTTTGTTTTTTTCATTTCCTTATCTTTTATTTCTCTGCAATATTTGACATCATTCACTACCCTCTACTACTGAGTTTTGGGGCAATGTCTTCTCTTGATTTTCCTCCTAAAGATCTAAACATTTCTTTCTGGTATTCTTTGAGTTTTCATAATCTATGTCATGCCCACAAACCAGCCCTGGCTTCTCTCTTTTCTCTTTTATCTCTATGTTCTCTCACTGGGTGTCCTCAATAGCTCCCATAGGCTCAATTATCATCTCTATGTCAATGATTCTCACATCTATTTATCCATATTTGCTCTCCTGGGCTGTAGTATTCCTTCAAGAACTGCCTAGTTGACTGCTCCTCAGCTCTGGTATTCCTTCAAGAACATTAGAAGACGATGTTCCACAGAGATTTCAAACTCATCATGTTAAAAATAGAACTCAATGTGTTTTACCTCAAACTCACCTTCTCTTCTAAGTTTCCCCAACACTACTGAGGGCACCACCAATCCTTCCAGTCACTCATGTTTATAACCTCAGTGTCAAATATTGTTATTTCTATCTCTATTTCTCTTGAATACTTCATCTTTTTCTCTAATCACACATCTACCACTCTAGTTTAGTCCTCCATTACCTCTTACCTGGATACCTGGATTATTATAACAACCACCTGTCTTAAGCCTGACTAAGCACTGTCAGCAAGATCTAAAAAAATCATGAAGAATGAGAGAAAAAAGACAGAGAGAGACAGACAGACAGACAGACACAGACAGAGAGACAGGGAACAAAGGACTGTAAAAAAAAGTTCACGTTCTGATTTTTTTAAGTGGCTAAAGTCTTCAACTATAAATCAATGGGTATGACTGATTCATGGCAAAATTCTAGAATATATTATTTAAAGGATGCTTTTTGAATGCAGAGAAAATAAATTAGTAATCATTAAGAACCACAATCAACAGTAGGTCATAACATATTGACACTATTCCAATTTTGAAGGGGTTATTAGACAGATTAGGAGAATTCCATAAGCATATCCAGATTTCAGCAAGGGTCTTTAGAATCTCTCATCTTATGCTTGCAGATAAAAAAGGAGAGTGGTGGGTGAATTTGTCTAGTAAAGGATAATCATTTATGAGACAATGACAATTTGGACAGATATGGTTAATGGAGTGAGCCAGTGTCATTCAACAATATTTTTATCAATAATTTGGATGAAGATGAAGATAAGATCCCTATTAAATCTGTAAAATGAGATTTCAATATGTTGAAGTATTAGGTTAAAACTGGAAGGAATAGCTAACACAATGAATGACTGAATCAAGTTTCAAAGATCTTGATATGCTAGAATTATGGGCTGAATCTAATGAGATGAAAATTATTAGGGGTAAATATAAAGTACTATTCAAAAAACCAAATGCATAAGTATAAGATGGAGATGTCATAACTAGACAATTTATCTTTTAAAAAAAGGTGTAAAGGTTTGAGCAGACAGAAAGATTGCTATGAGGAAGTAACATGGCACCTAATATGATCTTAGGTAACAACAGAGGCATAATTTTTAAAAGGAGGGAAGTTGTTATTGTTGTCATCCTTCTAAAAGAACCAAGAAAATCACAGGGTGATGACTTGTGTGTGAACTTGGATTTAAGCAAGGCAGAATTGTACAAGATCGTCAGCCTCACTCTCTCTTCCAGAGTCATTGAAGTCCAATGGCAAGATGAAAGTCAGGATGACTGGCAATGATCCGAGATACGGTGGATGATCTTGACATCTTTGATGTCTGACTCTAAGCGCTCCACAGCATCTGCTTTAGCCATCTTCATGACTGTTGGAACAAATTGTTCCCATCTGCCCATTCTGCTGGGGGATGTCTTTATATACTTGAGGTAAACATTCTTCTAACTCACCAACAAGTTTGAGGCTTGTCAGTTACTCTCAACCTGGCTCAGTCTGTCTGTCAAGACCATTTACCAGGATGTGACTGCTGGACATGCTACAGCTTCTTGGAGCCACAGGTGACAGTTGGATAGACGAGCAGCCCTGAAAAGGGCTTGGCAAGGCCAGAGACACCAGTCCTCTCTAAACACCCCATACAACCTTTCAGTACTCTATCCCAGTCAGACTATATCTAGAGTATTCTGTAGAATATTTTAGAAAGGCCTACTAAAAAAAAAGCTACAGGAAATCCATAGCAGAATAATCAAAATGTTGAGGAAATTAGAGACCACTCCATATGAGGGTTAGTTGAAGGAAATGAGCACACGTTTTGCCTGTACAAGGGAAGACTTGGGGAGAACATGATAATACTCAAGTATCTAAAAGGCTACATCATGTGAAACAGGAATAAGACTTGATCTTCTTGACACAAGAAGGCAAAACTCAATGCAATATTTTAAAGTTGCTGAAAGGCAAATTTAGGTAAGATATAAAGAAAAACTCCTTAACAATGAGATTTCACAACACCTTTTGCAGTAGCAAAGAACTAGAAACAAAGTAGATAGATGCTCACTGACTGATAAATAGCTAAACACATAGCGATACATTGAGGTAAAAGAATGGTACTGAATCATAAGAAATGATGACTATGAAGAACACAGAAAAGTACAGGAAGCTTTACGTGCACTGTGGCAAAGTGATGCAAGTGGAACTAGTAAAGCAACATATAAAACATGAAAACAGCAACACAAATGGAAAGATCAATAAACAAAAAAAAAATAAAACAATAATCACAGGTGGCCCTAGAGAGGATAAAATGCTCCTCCCTCACTTCTTTGTAGGGATGGGAGACAAGAGTTACAGAACACTGAATATCAGCTGTGTGTTAGACTCAAATGATGTTGTCTATGTTTGCTAAACTGCTTTTCCCCCTCTCTGCACTTCTTGATTTAAAAAAAATATTACAAAGGATGGCTCTCCTAAGAAGAGTGGAAGATAAATGTTTGGAAATGAAGATAATATAAAAAGAAAATATAGTTAACAATTTTAAAAGCATAGGATGGGATGGCTAAAGGGATAGTGACCCTCCCTCCATCCACTGCAGAACTTCAAAGTAGAGACTGGACAGTTATTTATTAGTGATGTTATAGACGTGATTACCCTTTAAATTAAATGACCTCTGAGTTTCTTCACAAATATGATACCCTCTTACCTATGATAAAAAAAAATTTGGACATCTTTTTCCATTTATAAAACAAATTTTGGCCCAAAACCAAATATATTACAATTGCCAAGATCACTATGGTTCATGAACTGTTCTACTCTAAAAAAAAATTAAATTGAATACCGGCAGAAGTTTCTCAGTGTGTTTTTAAATAGTCCCATTAATGTATTCTTTGTTGTTTTCTTATTTACTTATTTCGATTGATAGGCCAGCTTGCCAAATTTCATTGCAACAATGAAGTAAACTGCTCAGAAAGAGAAGGGAAAAAGAGGGAGAGAGATGAAAACAGAAGACTTTGGTAAGCCAATATGTTGTACTACATACTGCCAGCATGTCCTGTAAAATATATGCTTCTCAGTATGCAGATAGTGTAATTCCTTTAAGTAACAATTACTAAGTTAAACAATGCAATCTGTCCCACTGGCATGAAGAAATGTGCTGTGTTGTGGATTAGGAGATTCCATTAGGAGATGAACTCAGATTCCAGCCCCAAGGCCGGTAAAGGCTGAATCTCTTCCAGGAAGGATACAACCAGACAGACAGTCTCAGGTGTGGTGATACAGGAGCAGCTGCTCCATTCAAGATGAGACCTTGCAAACCAATCCAAGGAAATTGCCCAGCATCATTTGCAGCCTGAACATGAGGGGAAAATCTTTGGGAAGGTTGTGGCCAAAAATTAATGCATAACTAAAAAGGAAAAATGTTGATACCCACACAAAATCTATGCCAGAATTTATATACATGTATAAATACACACATACATATACACAACCACCAAAGATAATATCAGTTAGTTATTTTTTCTATCTTCATAATATTTAAAGGCCTACTTTCTTGATATTTTAATAACATAGTTGGAGGTTTTTATTTCACATAATATTATCAGATTTAGTTTAGAAGGGCCAACCACAGAGTTTAATAAGCCTAATTCCTTCATTTTATATAATAAGATGAGGACTAGGCAGGTCAAATGATTTGCCCAGAGTCTTACATGTCACTGGAAAACTAGGGCCCAAACTTCACTCCTTCAGCTTGAAATCTAGTATTTTTTCCATTATTTTACTACCTTCCATAGTGTGTAATTTTCAATTCAATTCAAACAAAGGACTGCTGAATCGAATCAAAATCAAAAATACTTCAAACCAAAAGCATGGAACAGAAGAAAAAAAGACTCAGGGTCTAGAATGCCATCTGCCTACACAGGGCCAATTAGGTAAATAAGTTCTTTGTTCTTGCTCTCCACCACCTTGCCCACAGATTCAAAATAACTTCATTTTTGAAACTCACCATAGCTTAAAGGTAAAACAACTATAATCATAATTTTCCCTGAAAACTATTGTTGTTGACTATGTGTCATACTACACAGAATATGGAACAGTATACAAATATAGAAATACAAGAAATCTATTTATTACTTGTTAAGAAATCAATTTTACAGCCATTTATTTGTGAAATGAGTATTTCATTATTTCTTAAGAAACATGGAAATACAACTGGAATTTTTCAAATTGTCTTCAAATATTTTATCCTTCTGGGTTGTGAAAATAAAAATCATAGCTTTGAACCCTTGTGTGCCTGTCACACTGCCTCACAGATATTAGATATAAACAGTGTGTTACTGATCTGAGAGGTATCCAATCAACGCTCCCTAATGAAATTGTACTTTAATCTGATAATGAAGCCATGAGCAGATGGAACTGCAAAAACAGAAAGCCTCTACATTGAATTCAGCAGCCAGACATAAACACTGACCTTCAGATAATTATAATAACGGTTTCCCCCATCAATAAAATTACGTTTTGTTTTTTTTTTACCTTAGGAGGAGATGATGGAATAGAGAGGCTATAGTTCAGGCCACTGCTGCAGGCACTGCCATGGAGAGCTAACATTGAGGCTTGGAAGGTGTCCTCATCCTCAGGAGAGTACTGAGACTCGAAGGTGGATTCATCTGCTAAGTCTGCCTCATTTGCGTCCACCTAGCAATAAATATAATTGCATCAGTCTGAATATCTGTCTTATCACATATGTTCCCAACATTTGCCAGCTCAAGGCTAAAATGCATCCTGTTACTATTCTCATTTTGAATCTTTGTTATGCACAGAATCTTTGATACACCAAGCATTGGCTAATGCAACAGAACAAGGAAAAGCTGGCAACCAGGAGCAGAGGGTGCTGACATTAAGTGTCACAACTACATGACTTCATTCCTTTAATAACAGAGCCAATGTATTCTTTTCTTCACTAACAACAATTAGCAAAAGGCTTGGATGGCCCTTCTAAGTTTAAAGAAATTGTATAAATTAAGCATAATTTGTTTTCTAATTCATATTTTTAAAAGCACCATCTCCTCCTGAGATTCTAATGAAACATAAACTAAATCTTTTTTTAAACTTTCAGTCTTAATAATTTGCAGAGTAGTACTGAAGCAATGATTTTCAAAGATGTTAAAAAGCACATTTTAAAATATACTCTAAGTCTAGAAACCATTAAATTTTCAATGATTGAGACAATAATCAAATTTGGTGTTTGTAAGAACCCACAGAGGGGATTAATGCTAACATCACAATAGCAAGCCTTGAATCAGTTCCTAATCCAGGCAAAGTGAAGCAAGAATATGGAAGGAGGAAGTGTAATAGAAAGGGTAGGAACACTATACAAGGTGGAAGAACTCTCTACTTTCCATCTACAGTTCTGCTTGGTTTGAACTCTAAGGAACAGGATGTCCCCACACTTGGTACCCCATTATCTTCCCCTTTCCAGTTTCTAAATCCTCTTCCCCCATGAGACTGTAAGCTCCTTGAGGGCAGGGACATATTTGTATCCCTAGTGCTTAGCATAGTGCCTGGCATATAAGAAGTGCCTAATAAATGTTTACTGAATTGAATTGAATGAGACTATGATGAATGAGGGAGAGTTAACTTTTCTGTGGTGTGGGGGGGGAAGAAAAGAGTTGGTTGGTGATGATGCTTAGAAGCAATGAGGAATAAAAGAAGGGAGATATAGGTTCATAAGAATTTAGAGTGTGAAGGGACCTTAGTTCAACCCTTTCATTTTTACAAGTGAGGAAATTACATTGAGGGAGTTCATAGCAGTTATTATAAATGATCTTAGAAGAAAAGGAAACTAAGTCATTTACTGTTAGTAAGGAGGTCAAGGATATGGTTGGGAGTACAGCTGGTAACAACCTTCCCCCTCAAACCTCACAAAGTATTTCACAAGATCCTAATCTACTTAATGTTGCATATTATTGTTAACTGTATTGGTATCTTATATCCCTGTTAGTCTGAGCTCCTTGAAGGTCAGACCTATGTCTTCTATATAATTTACCCCCATTTCCTATCATGATGCTCTTTACATGGTAGGCCTATAATAAATCATGCTGTTACTATAGGTTAGAAATTGCTACTAATAACATTTCACATGCATAGAATGACATAGGGATTATCTACCAAGAAAACTATTGCTGTTCCTGGGAAACAAAGAGCTTGAAGTCCCTAGGAATAATCTTTCACAATTTTTTGGCATTTCCTTCACATATATATCATAGGACTTCAGAAGAAGCAGAGTACAGTTTTGAAAAAGTAAATTTGGTGGTAGTATAATGGCTGTTATCTCTTTCAAACTCTGCTTCTATTTCACATTTGCATTGGTGGTACTGATAGGGTAGGTAGCACTTTTTCTTCTGCTAAGGAAATCTAGAATTTCTGCATACAAACAGGCCTGGCTTGATTTCATGTAATTGGTTCCAAGTAAACACATTAGGTGAAGCAACATTACAGAGAACTGTCTTGTTATTTAGTTAAGTTAGTTCCATAGAAAAGAAGAGAGGCATAAGTTTTGTTTGTTTATTTGTTTGTTTTGTTTTTTGAGCATGGAATGGTTTTGTTCCGAGTGGACAGTGAGCTAGAAGCATCCTCGGAGGATGAAACTAAGGATATTATGGATAGGAGATGTGATGTTACAATGGGATTTATTTATGTAGGGATAAGGTACAGGAAGTGGACCTGCAATTTTACTCGAATAGGGAACTCCAAGAGGCAGAAAACTCCCATTATTGAGGCTGGTCAGCATTTCCTCTACAACTTCTAGTCTCAAAGAAATTCCTACAGCAGTGAAAAGTTAAGTAATTTGTGCAAGGTCACACTCTCAGTATCCATCAAAGGCAGGAACTGAACTCAGATCTTTCTAGATTCAAGAGCAACTCTCTATCTCCCATGCGAAACTGCCTCTCTTATCTTTAATGGTGTTACTGGAGCATAATAGTGGCAGAAGGAAGACGATTTACTGTATGCCTGTCATTTCTTCCTGAAAATCTGCTGTTTTAGACATGATACAATTTAATTCAATTCCATAAATATTTATTAAGTGCCTCTATGTGTAAGGTGCTATGCTGGCTGCATAAGACTTGAGACACAAAGGAAGCAGTCTTTGGAGGTTAGTCTACTGAGGTGACATAGCACATACATAGATAACGCAAGTATGAGTTTAGTAACAAAACAAAACAATAAGGGAAAGAAAAATAGCTTAGGAAAATTTCAGGAGGTCGAGAACATCAAAAATTATGAGGTTTGAGAAAGGCTTCATGGAGCATGTTTTCAACCACTATGACCATTTGTCATGTGAAATGTAACAAAGAGCTTGAGAAGTAATTTGTAATCTAGCTTGGAAGGAATGCACAGTACAGAAAAGAGAATGTTATGAAATCAGGCAGGAAGAGTACATGGGAGTCAGACTGGGGATTCTCCTTAAATAGCACGAGAAGTTTATATTTTATCATAGAAACAATAAAGAACCATTGAAGATAGGTAAGGGACAAGGCACTCCAGAGTACAATGGAGTGAGTGTATTGCTATCCTTGGGTAAAAATGCTTGAAAAATAAAGTTACTTTCAGTTGAAGTCAACTAAGCTTTGGAGTTTACAAAGGTCAATAAATGTATAAATGGATTTATTGAAGTGAGAAAGTATGTACAAGTGCCTAACACATGGTAGGTTACACACATAATATATGCTTTTTGAATTGTTTTGAACTGAACCTACAACACAAGACTGGTTATGAAAAACCATTTTTAAAGCTTATTTAAATGTTACCATGGTATAATTTATTCTTGAGGAATTCCCCTGGTCCACAGTAATTTCTATACTTAAAACATTTTCCTTCTTATTTCATTTTAACTTTCTTAGGGATGCAGAACCTGGAACAAAGAATGTAGAAGCATCCATTTCCCACCCCCTGTCTATCCTCCAAGGTCCAGTCCTGGGCTCTCTTCTTTGTTCCCTCTATTTTTCTCTTCCTTAGTGAGTTCATCATCTCCCAATGAGTTAATGGCTCTCAAATCTCTCTATCTTTCTACCTACCATCTATCAATCAATCAATCTGTCATCTAACCATGCCCTAATACTTCTTCTGAACTTGTGCAGTATCACCAACTGCCTGCTGGACATCTCCACCTGCATTTCCCAATATCGACTCAAGTTCCACACGTTCAAATCAGAACTCATTATCTTTTCCCCTAAACCTTCACCTCTTCCAAACTTCCTCTTTTCTATCACAGGCACTAGCATACTGCTAATCACCCAGGTTTAATCAATTCTTGACTGTTTCTTTTCCTTTAATCTCCCTTACCATAGCCAATCAATTGCCAAGCCTTTCTGCTGTGATCTCCATGATGCTGATCTCGTCTATCCCCTTCTCTCTGCTGCTCATCCAGCTCAGAACTTCATCATCTCTTGCCTATACTACTTTAACAGCCTTCTATTTGGCTTCCCTGTTTTCTCTTTTCTCTAATACATCCTTATCCAAATCATCATCCTAAGGCAGAGATCTATATTACTCATCCACTCAAAAACATTTAGAGCAAAAGCAACCTTTTTTCTTTGCATCATGGACTCTGTTAGCACTCTGGTGAAGCCTACAGACCTATTCTAAAAATAACCTAAATGAATAAAATAAAATATAGAGGATCAAAAAAGAAACCAATTATATTTGAACGCAGCTGTTAAAATTATTTTTTAAACAAGTTCATGGACCTTGGGTTAAAATTTTCTGACTCAGAGACTTCCCAAGGTCTCTGTAATTAAATACAAACTCCTCAGTCTCAGCATTACATATAATGTCATCCACAGTCTGGCTGCAAACTACCCTTCACAAATAATCCTAAATTCCTCTTATTTAAGCGCTCTACATTCTATCCAAGCTGGACTATTCCAGGAATACGACATTCTACTTCCCATCTCTCACAGAGCCATTTTCTCTTAAAATGAGCATTGGTATAGATACATTCAACTGAAGAATATAGGACTACAGTAAGTTAAGCTCTTATTTAAAGCAAGAAATTCATATGACCAACAGTGTGCTAAAAACTTATGATGAAGTATTTAATATATTCTAAAGCTGACACCAAAAATGTGTCTACCATGTGTGAATGATTTAAAGAAGACATCCAACTGCAATACAGTACAAGACATTAGACCAAATAAGTTTACAAAAATGTATGCCAAAAAGGTTAACAGGAAGACAATCTGGCCCTTAGTGCTAAATGTACAGCTAAATTTATCTATTTATTATATTTATACATTCCCTTTCTCCAAGGACAGAGTGAACACAAAGTCTTTACCTTAATTTTTACACTAAAGCATCAAAATTTGCTTTGGTAATTATACAAAGCATGAGATTTCTCTCTGCCCCACCCCCCATTTTTTTGACAGTCTCGTCCATAATCAAAAATAGAGCCAAATGCATATGATTTGGGCATGTCATATCGCCTAATAAGTGACTAGCTCTTCTCTTATAATAGGGTTTTGCTGATTAATCTATACTACACTGCAAACATCATGACAGCAATAAGAAAATATAGCTAGTGGCACATTAAAGAGACTGACTGTGATACATAATGAAAGAACAGAAAAGAAGAAAGTTAAAGAAAATCAATTTTAGAAAACTTGAGTTTAAAGTGAGTTATATTATACCTTAATAAGCTATTAATTACATTTCCCCCTCAAATATCAGCAAATTAATTTTCCACACACATATACATACACATGTATACACATATATATGATATATATGCATATAATATATACATATTTTTTCTTACTTCACCTTATAGCAGGGGTACGATGAATTGGCCAGGCTTAAAGTTTTTAAAAATCAAATTAGCAAAGAATCAGCACAAGCCTATTACATTAGTCTATTACAATGCTTAGCAAAGCAATCATTTAGGCCAAGAAAGGACTCTGAAAGAAGGCTTGGTAAATTTGGGGCACTGACCAGAGCTACCTCAGCATGGAAGAGGGCTACATCAGTCGGCCCTTCCTCCTCAAATGAGTATGCTGTGTAGAAAAAGGGATCTTCCTTAGCAGAAACATAACCTTCTTCTGGTGAAAGCTGCAGAAAGAATGAAGCTCAGAGTTGGATGAATAGACATTGAAAAGGATATGCAAAGAAAGACATGATGGGGAAGATTTTTCCGTTTTAAAATTTTTTTTTCTTTTTCTGATTATGAATTTGACAAACATAAACAAATATAAACATTTCCATATACAAAGAACATAAAAAGATGATTACATATGAAAAATTATATTACTTCTTAAATTTCTGAGTATATGTTAAATTTAATGTAGTAGTTTCAACATTGCCTTGCTTGTCCAAGGCCCCTTCTAAACTTCGTTCTGCTCTCTTCTGTGTCTTTAAGACACTTCTTTTTTCTTTTTTAAAAGTCACTATCATTACTCCCCTTCATCCTCAGAATTCTTCCTTCTCAAAACAAATATCCACCCCATCTCAACTTGTAACAAAGAATAACAGTCAAGAAAAACAAATCAACACATTGGCTATATCTGAAAACCTCTCATTCTGTACATTGAGCATTTACAGAAATTTTCAACAACAAAAGAAAAAAAACTAACCTGGGTTTAGAAAGAAAACACTCAATAAATAATTAGAAGTATTGAACTTTTATAACTATCATCTCCTTCACTTGTTATTTAATGAACTTATTATCATAGATCATTTACTTCTAATATAACACAACATTCTTATTTTGTCAGTTTTTAAATTTAAATTCCATCAGTTTTTGTTAAATCTTTCGGTTTTTAAATTTAAATTCCCCCATAAATGATTATCTTTTAAAAATAATATGAAATAAATTTAGTTCCCAACTTCATCTGTTATCCCTTCCGAGTAAAGAAACAATGACTATTAAAATGGAAACAAAACAATTTTTATGGAATAAAATGCTTCAGCACAGTGCAGAAGTACTTAAGAAATCATGAAATAACAGCTCCTTAAGCACAGTGCTTTGCACATAGTAGGTTTACAAGAAATGTTTGTTGAACTGACAGTTTTATTTTTCCCTTTCATTATTCAAGAAGGATATGAGTTAACAAAATATAATTTATTTGACTTTACTGTGTGCCATAAAAGACAGTTTGGGCCAACCTGGGAAATATAATTTAACTTCTCATAACAAAAATAATGGCTCGCATTTATATAGCACTTTAAGATTTGCAAAGTGTTTTTCCATACATTATTTTATTTGAGCCTCATGACCACTCTGTGAGACAGGTGCTATTATTATCCTCATTTTACAAATTAGAAATTAGAGGGTTGTTTTTACAAATTTTTACAAATTAGAATTAGAGGTTTAATGACTTTCTCAAAGTTTACTGCTAGTAAGTGTCTGAGTGGGATCTGAAGCGGCCTTCGAGGCCAGCTAGCTATCCATTACAACAATGCATGCCTCTGTCTACCCCTTAGCAACTCTCTAACACTGTAAGTTACAGAGAAGTTGTCAATTGGCATTATGTTGGGTGCATATCTGGGATTTCTTGCTACAATAAAATCATAGATCCACACCCCCCCATACACACACAGACACAGAGAGACACAGAGACACACACACGCACACCTTTGTGCCCTATTAAGTTCTTTTTAATTTAAAAAAAATAACCTTCTACTGTGTATATATGCCAGTATGACTAGAATGAAAAATTTTCAATTGTTGGTGAAAACCTGACAAAATGAATTTCTGTCAGTCACTGGTACATTGGAATCAATTTTCTAAATAAGTGCCTCAATGATTTCTTTTGGAATATTATTTGCTGTACCATAATTAATTAATGATGTGTTTGCAAGCAACTTGTGGATAATATGAATTATCTGCCACAGAATGGGCAGTTTGAGAAGAATCCCTTTATCAGTGCAGCAGCATCTTTGTCTACAGATAGTTATTTATCCTTCATGCTTTATAATTGTAATACGTTTTGCTAATCATCCTATTTAAATGATAGAGCAGCATTATGAAGTAACAGATAGAAAGCTGGCCTCAGAGTTATGAATACCTAAACTCAAGTTTTATCTCTGATAAACACTTGCTGAGTGTCCCTCAACAAGCCACACTGCTCCTCAGAGCACTAGGCAACTCTCCAAGATTCTATCTAGATTGCAAAGAAGTTGCCAACATGCATTAGAAGAAGGAGTTTCCTCTGCTGGGATTTTCTTGTATCTATGAAATTATCACAGGTCTAGTCTCTATCTTCTATTAGGTACTTTTGTGTATAAATTCTGTCTATATCAGTACTGTCTTTCCTCTTACATACAGAATGCATTGCAGGTATACCTCACTCTACGCAAATATAACATTTAAATATTGCTTATTTTTCAAAAAAGTAAAATTTGAAGATTCAAATTCATCTTGCTAGACAATTTTATACTTTATAAAATAATTCTTTAAATTAGCAAGCTCTCTTTCCTTCACTACTTTAAGATTCATTATTTCATTGGCCCCTACATAAATGTGTGTAAACACACACACACACACACACACATGCATACACACACCTACATATCAACCCTCCCCCATCATCATGATGTAAAATGCAAACCTTCCCTGTAGTCAACTTTCTTATGGTAAGCCTCGCTGACTTTAGTTTACCTAAGATATTTTAAATATGCTTTAATTTTCAAAACCAAAATGCATATGTAACTTTGCAGGATATCTATTGCAAAAAGTGTGGCATATTCACTTTTTCCAGCATAGTAGCAACCACACAGTTCAACCAAATCAAGGTCATAGGACCACTAGGTGAAAGGTATTTCTGTCACTGGAAATGAAGCAAATCCCAAGTCCTCTGGGGGGGATTATTAATACTTTTCTAGCATTCACTCTAGTGTTCCCCAACATTCATTTGCATTAATTAGTACACACTAATCATTAGTCAAAATGTTTATTTATGGGATTCTATTAGTATCTATCATTAGCAAATACATACATAAATAAAACACTCATGAGTGGTTGGGTTTTTTTTGTCTGTTACTGATGGAAATTATTATGTAAATTGTAAGGATAAATTTTCATTGTTCAAGATAACACCTTAACCTCAAAGTGAGTATATAGCCCATTTCCCCTGGAAAAGAGATAACAAAATCAACATAACCAAAACTCTTACAGGGAGAGGTTTAGTAACTCCAATTCTCACGGTTCCTGATGGTGCTCCTTTGAGGGCTTGCACAGCTTCTTCCAGACTGCCATTTTCCAAGTTAACATCATTGACGAACATAAGCCGGTCCCCAGGAAGAAGTCTTCCATCCTGTTCAGCGACACCACCAGGCACTAATGAACGAATTACAATGACTGTGCGAGCAGGGTCAACTGGATCCTGAAGCAAACAGAGCAAAAACAGTGAGGAAGGTGAAGAACATAGTTTATTTAGGAAAACCTCCAATTTTAAGTAATAATGGCTAGATAATTATTTTGAGTATTTCTCTTTAAAAATTTTTTAAAACTATTTAATAATATGCTCTTTACTATCTGTAATAAAGTTACTGTTACTGTGCTGCAAATTATTCATGGTTCTTTCTGGATCCTATACATGTTACTCAAAGGATCTGTGATTTCTTCCCAAATAGGAAATGCCCTCATAGGATCATAAATTTAGAAATGAATGGACCTTGGAGGTTTTTACATCCAACTCTGTTATTTTACAGATGAATACACAGAGGCCTAATAAAAGTAAGTGAATTGCCCAGGGCCACAAAAATTCTAGAAGTCAGAGGCAGAATTAGAATTCAGGTCTTCCTGAATCCAAAAACCAGTGCTATAACCAGGATGTTATCTAGATGCCCAATCAACAGACTGCAACTTCCTTATATCCTCCTGGTTTCTCTGGCTTTCTTCCCAACTCTGCTCAAATCACACCTTCTGCTAAAGGCCTTTTCCAGTCCCCTCTACTGCATATACTATATATGTATATATATATATTTTTGCTTATTACCTCATCTATTGGAATGTGGGATTCTTGAGTGCAGGGACTACATTTTTACTTTTCTTTGTATCCCAGCACAGATTAGATAAGATTTAGGGAATTGCTTGTAGCATACATTGGTTAGTAAAGTGACTTGACAGGGGTCAAAATACAAGTAAGTGTCTGAGGCAAAATATGAACCCATATCTTTCAGAATTCAAGTTCAGCCCTCCATCCATTAAACTATATTGCCTTATACATAGCAGAGGATAAATAATAAATGTTTGCAGCAAACAAGAAATGAGATCAGCAAAGCTACACTGTAACATTTGTTTTAGGCTATAGAAACACATACATGTTTTTTATATAAACAGCACAGTAAAATCAAAATGCCTGGAATACCCAAAGCCTGTACACTTTCTCTGTGCAATGCTTCACAGTTCTGCACTGTCAACTTCAGAAAAGAAACCATGTGCCCCAGAACACAGGCCACCAACTGGTGGAATTCAGAGCTAAGTGATCAGGGATGGATTAGCAAAGTAAGAGCAGAAAGATCTGGTAGGTGCAAGCAGGGAATAAATTAAATATGCCCATCTAGATGGAATGGGCATAGTTGGGTCAGACAAGGGTGGAGAAGGCCCAAGGTCAGTAATGAAGATGGGAGGCACAGAGGATCAAGAGGGAAAGAAGCATGGAATCCAGGGATATTTGAACCATGGGCAGTCTGTGAATTACAGAAGTGGCACATTACTTTGGAACAAAGAGGATACATTTTTATGTTAACTTTTATGACAATTAGCAAAGCAAATGCTCTAAATCTGAACATTAGAACTTTTGAGCCTGGCTAAAAATGAAAGTCCTCCATCCATGGCAAATAAAGGCACAAATGATCTATTTTCCTTCTCCCTGTCCCAGGAAAAGAGCATGAGACCCCTTTTTGGGGACTAGCCAAAAACTCTGAGCACCTTGAAAATATTTCTTGGATGCTCAAGCTGAAACACACTACAAAACACAAACACACAGCTTCAGTGATTTCTGGACCTGAAAACTGATGAAGGCCTTCTCTCTGCTCTTAGACTCAGGAACACTTGCCATATGTTATATCATAAAAGTTATTTTGCCTATGACAGTCCTTTAAAACCATCACTATAACTACCCAGTGAAAATAATAATTTAATTTTGTTTTAAAAAGTTCTTTCATATCTTAAACTGAAAAATAAAGGGGAAAAGGAACCACAAAATAATAACTAACAAAGCAATAACGGTGCATGGCTCTAGCTAGAGGCAGGATTCAGAAACTAGGCAGCATTGAGGGACCTTGCATCTTATATGACTTTATGGTGTCATCTAAGCTGGCTCTGTTGTTTGGCATTAATTAATGAAGAGCTACAGTTGCAGTCTATCAGACAGACTTTCCTATTCAGGCAATTTAATTGCAGAAAATAAGAAATGGCTCATATGATACTTGGCCATCTTAAAGTACAATCATAGACCTACTCAAACTTCTGAAACTAACAATTTAATATATATTTATATGGATATAAATATATAGATATATTATATCAAATGTCAAACACATCACTCATGCAAAAGACTAATTAAAAGATGAATATTTCACTTTTCAAGTACGAATATAGACTGGAATACAGTACATAAAACTCAAAATTTTGCATAAATTCATTTAAATGCAATCTATAAAATACATATTAATAAAATAAAATCAATTTCTAATATTCCTATGAATACCAACTATATTCTTCCTTTTTTTTTATCAAGAGTTAAATTATTGTTATGTCCATGGTGTCAGCTAATAAGAGAAATTCTTTTAGAAAACAACACTACTAGTCAATAATAATACAACTACTATTTGGAGAAAACTCAAATTTACTGCTGTCTATTGTACATAACAAAATAATATCTACTTTTAGCTTCTCTTTGGTCTCAAAGGTATAATTTGATCATGGAAATTACCTTAAAAAACAAAGCAGACTGATTCTGTTGAAATGAGTATATGTTACCTGATAGTCTAATATGCTAAAACCAAGTCCTACGCTCCCCTTTTCCAGCTCAATATGCTGAATGTTGATTTCCCACATTGCCAATGATGATCCTTGCACCTCTTCTGTATTCTGACCCACATCAGTCATGTCAAAAGCAGTATCCTCTGTCTCTGATGAGCCAATGAATTCACCGAGGTCTACATGAGGCTGGAGAAAAGAACAGAGAGCTCTTATTTCAGAAACACAAGATCAAGAGATATATTGTACCCACAGGAAAAGGGAAAATCCAAGCCCTCTTAGATAGAAAAAAATAGCTAAAGGAAAAATCACCAATGGGTCAGCTAATGTTTTGGCACTTCTAGAATCATGAGAGCAATTAATAAAAATAATCCAATTTTTTAAAGAAGGATAGAAGTCTACACTATTAAGTATTAAAGATATAAAGAGTTTAGTGACATTTTAAAGCACAAGTATGAAATAATTCAAGAGAAACTGGATTGGTACATAAGACATAAAGCATATAGAAAATAATTTTTACATGCTATTTTGTATTTAGGGTCTACAAAATATACAGTAAAATGATTGTTTTGATTTAATAATATTAGTTCAATATTTTAGTACTTCAATGGATCTATGATCTTCTTGAAGTGGGTTAATTTCTTGCTTTGCTTAAGATAGTAACGTATTCAGACATAGTACTCCTACATGATTCTTATCTATATCCCTTAAATACTCTACAAAGAATCAACCTAAAATGTAAGAAGTATTCCTCTAGGTGGATGCCGCTGCAGTTCTCACATACAGAATCACAGTTATTAAGCTCAGTGGGACCTTACGCCATTTTCTAGTCAAACCTCTATTTTACTGATAAGGAAACTGAGGCTTGGAGAGGTTAGCTGGCTTCTCCATGCTTACACAGGTAAGTGACAGACCCTAGTCCTCTGACCAGTAGCAAACTGTTCCTTTGACTTCCAAAATATCTAATGCAGCTTCAGTATTAGTACATAGCTCTAAGTGCTGGTCTTCTGAAGTTTTCCCCTTATGCTGAAACACTCTTCAAAATTTTCTATATAATCTCAATAGGACGAGTATCTAAAATGTATTTTTTCCTGTCAGATACTACTTGAAGGAGGAGCAAATTCTAACATAAATCATACAGTCTCTACCTTTCAACTTTGTTTTTTTTTTTTTTTTTTTTTTTGGTAAGGCGATTAGGGTTAAGTGACTTGCCCAGGGTCACACAGCTAGTAAGTGTTAAGTGTCTGAGGCTGGATTTGAACTCAGATCCTCCTGACTCCAAGGCCAGAGGTCTATTCACTGAGCCACCTAGCTGCTCCTTTTACCTTTCAATTTTAAAAATTGCTTCTACTGCTCTTCCAAAGAATAGATGGTCTCTGTTTTCTCACATTTTTTTCTAGTGGAGTAGAATGTATATAAAGGAAAACAGTATAATATATAATATAGAAATTTACTAATAGTGCAATGGCTTGAGTTCAATTTTTCCATATTTTAAAGATATAAATTCTGTAGTATAAGATATACTATTGGGATAAAGCCCACATTCATACATAACAAACAAGTCAAAACTCAAACCACACAATCAAGCATTCAACTCAAGGAAAATGCTATCCACATCCAGAAAAAGAACCATGGAATCTGAATGCAGATGGAAGCATACTATTTGCCCTCCTTTTCTTTTGTTGTTTTGTTTTATTTCTTCTTTCTTGTAGTTCTTCATCATTACTCATGTGGAAATATGCTTAACATGAATGTATAAGTAGAGTCTATATAAAAGAATTCAATTCAATAAACATTTATTAAATGTTTACTATTAGACTATGTTAGACTATGAATCATGTGAAGCAGCTATTAGCCAAATGAGAGTAAATAGAATACCTTTTCTGTTAAATGGGTATCAGAGACATTCAACCTCTCTAACTCATCCTGGTTAACAGGTAAGACAAGGGGACGACAGCAAACCATTGTCACTTGAATTGGAAGCTCTTTTAAAATATTCACCACATCTTTGTGATTTTCACCAAGTAAAGTTATTCCATTCACCTGTTCAAAAGGAAAAAATATATATATAGATAGATATGCCACAATGGCCCATGGAAAAACATGTCTTAACATCAAATAAAGTATATTGTTTCACAAATTAAGTGTTACTTTCTTGCATCTTATATGCAACATACCCACAAATGATTTCATATTTATTCAAGCTCTATAATGATTAGAAACAGTCCATGACTGTTTTCCCCCTTTCAGCTGAAGCTTAGATTGCTTTGGGCAAGGTTGGTACACTGGAGTCTAATTCAAATTCATATATAAAAGAATGTCAGGAGATTCTTTGGTTGATTTAAACTTCTGAGAGATTACCAGTCATCACAAAATAAAAAGTCAAAGGGAAAAGCTGTACTATAAAATCATCAGCTCTTACCTCCCTTTTATCTACATTTCTTCTGCCAGATTAAGAATCTCAGAGGTAAAATGAGGAATGCAGATATTATCACAAGACTTCAGAGCAAAAGGAACCTTAGCTGTCATTCGTTTCAGCCCCCTCATTGTACATATGTGGAAACTGAAGTTCAGAGACTGGAATGATTTACCCAAGGTCAGGTACACAATAGGCAGTAAAGAGAGTACACAGGTACTCTCTAAATTAAATTCTATCTATGAAGGGAAAGGTGAAGGTTGGGAGGTAGATGAAAAGGAGACTTAGCGATGGAATGGGATAGAGGTACAAAAAGTTTATTAAATTTTCTTGAACATAAAATGTTGGGATTTAGTTCTGAAAATGAGTATACACATGATATAGATTTTTTTTTCTGTGAGTTTAGAGTTTTTGTCATTTAGTCCTTAATGTGCCCTTTAAGGTAATACTCTAAGTCTTAAAGAATCATAAATTTAGAGAATCTCAGAGTTGGAAGGAACCCTAAAGGTCATCCTGGAGATAATTAAATGGCACAATGGATAGAACACTAGACTTGGACTCAAGAAAAACCTGAGTTCAAAAATTCTGCCTGAGACAATGACTAACTGTACACAATATTAGGCCAATCACTTAACCTCTCTCAGTATGTCCCCTAACCTATATAATGGGTGAAAGTACCTCCCGTTCCTCACAAGGTTGCTGTAAAGATCAAATGAAATTATATTTGTATAGCATTCTGAAAATCACAACATAAATAATGATGATTATCATTATTATTATTACTCCATTCAACATATACCTGAAAAGAAACTCTAAAACTTATTTACGGAAGGAAACAAAAACAATTTCTTACTTCCAGGAGTTCATCTCCACTGAAAAACTTCCCACTGTGTCCAACAGGTCCTTCGGGTAGAACAGATCTGATGAAATGATGTCCCACAGTTGCTTCCAAGCTTATTCCCAACCCACTGCTCTCACTGAACTTGTTCATGTGGGCAACCTAGAAGGACAGAAATCATATATATTTTTATTCCCCTCTACAAATAACTGTGATGTAAAGGCAAAGTGTATCAACTAAAATTATTTAATATAATAACTGATTAATTAAATGAATAATAAAATTATATATAATTATACATTACATATACACATATATATGTACATGTATATATATATAGGGGGAGAGAGAGAGAAATATATAGAGGGAAGGAGGGAAGGAAACAGACAGACCAACAGACAGAGATGGAGAGAGTCATCAGAATGCTGCTGAAATTGTTATGTTCCTGTTGGAACGATCACTGATGTCCATAAGTTTCTGGAAGTAAACTTAGCTCCAAGTTCCAGTATCAGTGGCAGTAAAGACTGGCCATAAGTTTCTGGAATTAGCTACGGAAGAGTTCAATTCACAGCATCCATTCTGCATTACAGGAAGAGTTCCTTCTTGCTGGAGATATATTTTTTTAATTAACAAAAGCTAATGCATTTTTTTCTTTATTTTTTCCCTAGTGACACATAATCAGAAATTAAAGTACTACTTATAAAGCTCAAAGGCTCTAGAATATGAAGAGATCTTAGAGATCAACAGTCCAATACTTTTATTTTACAGATGAGGAAAATGAGACTCAATAAGTCAAATGGATTGAACAAGTTTGCACCAAGCAGGAAGTTAGGTCTAATGACTCCAAATCCAATGTTCTTTCCACTCAATCCCACTACCTTAATAGGGCTTATTTTTGTGTAAGTAACCACTGTAAAAGTCTCAGAGAAGGACTGAATGTTCTTTGTAATTATGTGCCACATAATTAGGGTTGTGTTTGCTAAAATGATCCATTTTCTCTCTAATCCATAGGAACTTGAACCCTATCAAGAGTATCATCTAACCCAATACCTGATTGTTTCTGCCAAAGCCTGAGGATCTCACAGTTATGCAAAGGCAAATAAAAAGGCTTCATGTCACTATGGCTTAGGAAGAGTAAGAAAAAGTAATTCACGGTTCTAACCATTTATTGTTGGAACATGCCTTTTGTACTAATCAAAGTTTGCAAAGTTGATGAATTATGTGAATTTGGAAACTTCAGCTTTAGGAGGATTCACTACATCCTTACTTTCTTCTCCCCATTTATTTTATTTTCTTCTTTTTAATCATCCTTTTAAAAAGAAATTGACTCCAGAGCCCAGATCAGCACTCAAAATTTTAGTCTTCCCCAAAGGCCTGACATTTACCATTGGATTGGGACCAAATTACAAAGGATAATAATGGATTATTGTTGTTAATATAAAAAAGTTCTATATTACTTGAATAATTCTTTAGTCCTTTGTATTTCCTTATGTGAAACTGGAATATTATATCTCTATTAAAATAATAAGTCTAGTGTCAAACTTGCCAGATTATCTATTAAAAAATGCTAAAATCAGAACATAAAGGTTAACGTACCACTATTTCATAATTAAGGCCCATAATCCTTTGCCACTTATTCCGCAATTTTGCTTCTTGAAACTGTCTTTCATCAACTTCTATTTCTTCTGGTAGCTGATGGTCTAAAATAATTAAAGCCATTATTTAATTGACTATAACATTTTTCACATCTTGAAATTTGGTACAAAGTTAACTCATTATCAAAATATCTCCTCTTAAGTTAGTTTCATTATAACCTTTTTTGTATCCCACTTGTGCCTGGTTACACCTTTTCCCATGCTGTTCCCTATGATGCTCTCTAATTTTCTTCCTAGAAACCCATGGTTATTTCATACTGAAACCCAGCTCAAGTTTCTTTGAGAAGCCTTTATTTGACTCAGTGGAATACAACCGCCCTGAAGACAAGAGTAATCTCATTTTTGTATTTGAATCCTCAGTATCTATGACAGTGCCTGGCTGATGGTAGTAGGTGCTTAATAGTGCCTGCTGACTGACTGATTAACAAACTTAACATATCCCTGTTGATCACTCCTCTTCCCTTGGATTCTTTCAGTAGGTACACATTCTGATACAGCCTGGATTTGGAAACTGCTCTATTAGAAAGACTACTTGCATACTACTCCTTACTCCCACCCTTCACTGCCCCATCTAATTTCAGAGAAACATTTAGGGCCATTTACAACCATTAAAACTAAAAGGATTGGCTGTGGCTTCAAATAAGTAATATAAATAAAACCTTGCCTATGGGGAAACTAATTTTGTTACCTTCCTCTGCCAGCCTAACTCATCAAAACCAAATTCACAGAGCCTGAATGTCTCACTAGTATTTTCTAATAGATTCCATTGTTTTGGTTATTGTGTTCACTGCAGATGTAGGTAATCTCACATTATATTACTCATATTCCTCTTTCAAAAAAAAGTGATACATCAAAATCAGGTGAGGACACCCCCTCCCCATCCCCTCAATTTCAGCCAGTCCGATCCCTAATTGTAGACAGGTGCATCTCTCTGGACATAGGTCAGTTTCTGTGTATGTGTGTATATATTATATTATAACCAAGTGCAGACTTTATTCTGAGGTCACTCTTGTTTGGTAAAAGATATTGATAATAATATAATTCCTTGATTTACACAACAGATGGGTTTCCAATGAGTTATGTATATAATATATTTGTGTAAATTAAATTTTATTTTCATTTTATTAGGGAAATATGCTATTGAAAAGACTATGAAGTGATAAGTCCTTTTTCATAAAGTAAATCATTATGCACTAATTTATCTTTTACAAGTTTGGATTTTTGTATATTGGTTTTCTTAAAGCAAGAACACAACTCAATTTTGATTAAATGTTTCCTATGGTAGAACTTCAGTCAAAGATATGAAATGACTGTAATACCTATAGGTACCACTTAATTACTATCCAAAATGAAAGTCTGTTGTCATGTCAACATATTTACAAGGTTAACAAGTCCAAACACCTAAAATGAAAATCTTTCCCAAGGCTTCAGCAGATAATGCAAACGAGTAAAGCCAAGTTTGGGTTTGTTTTTCCTGCTTCCTATGCTTACTTACTCCTTATTGCTCTATAAAACATAGTCCTTAGTTTAATAACGCACCCCAAAGGGGAGTTTTATTGCTCAACAAAAATGTTCTTTATTGGGAAGTGTTTTTCTTGTTGAACTACTAACTGCTGACTCTTTAAGGTCTATTCAGTCTCTGCTTTTCTCTAAGCTAAACAGCCTCATTAATTTAAGTTGGACACTAAGAATTCAGGAAATTTTATTTTGCAACTTGTGTTATTTCTAAATTGGTAATTCTAAATACACCATTTCCAAAAACTTCAGAGATGACAGGCTCATTCTGGAATAGCCTTCAGCTCCTCGGGCTTCCTTCCCCTAGAATATCCATCTGCCATGCTGTTCCCCTTCTTCAATTGGCGAGTTCCTCCTGGGCCTCTCCATTTTGGGAAGGGGACCAGGTTGGTCAAACTCCTATTTGTGATTCTGACTTTCCAGACTTCACCAGGTACCTTCACCAGCATCACCACCTCCTTTCTCCCCCTAGTCTAACACACACATACACACACACACACACACACACACACACACGTTTTTCAGTTCTTCTTGGTGTGCTGTCCTCCCACATTAGAATCTAAGCTCCTTGAGGGCCGAGACTCTTTCTTCTTACTTATATTTGTATCTCCAGGGCTTAGCACAGTGTCTGACACATAGTAAGCATTTAATAAGTATTTGTTGCCTGCCTACCCCACTCAATATTATATTTAACTGTGCTGATGTCAGATAGTCCCGGTAGACTGTAAGTTCCTTAAGGGAAAGGATGATACCATTTTCATCTTAGTATCCCCAATATCTAATCTAATCTAATATCAATATCCCCATTCCTTTGCAGAGGTGGAAAGCCCAGTAATGTGGAACACTGCATATATTTTCAAACATTTTTTGATATACTGATCAGTTTTGCAGATTTCTAAAATATTTTTCTTCTTTTCCTTTAGAAATAGTCTTTGTTACATGGGATAACACTCTGGGAGGAGAAAGGGAACACTAGGAGAAGTTTTGGCCATGTAAAGATAAAAGATGTCAATAAAAATTCATTTTGAAAAACAAATAAAAAGAAAGTAATTTGTGCCTAATAAATGTCTAATGAATTGTTCTGAACTGACCTTTCAGGGGAAGAAATTTTAAGAGCATATGGAAGCATAGCAATATAAAGTAATCAGTAAGTTTAGGGTTTGTCCATGCTTATTGATGACTGAGGTATTATAAAGATGTTAGCAAGTGTATATACATACACACATGCATATATATATATACACACATGCACACACACACATACATATGTATGTATGTATATGTACATACAGATACATATGCATGTTTCTGATATTAGAGAGAACCAGAAGCAATCTAAAACTTCATGGTTCACCATCAAACATGATTCACTCCAAGATGGTTCCAGAACTACGATATGAACAGAGTCCTTTAAGCTACTCTAGAACTAGTCTGGATCCTTCTAAGTCACCCCCAGAGACTATCATGTGGTAAAGCAACCCAGCCACAATCTCAGTGATGCTAGAGCACTGAAATATATTAATGTCATATTATCATGGAACCCACTATTTTAAAATATGTGAAACCCTTAAAAAAGTTTCATCAATTCAAGAAGGCTGCTTCCTAGGAAAGAAGTTATGTTTTCCCCTCAGTTTTAAACAATACAGAGAATAGAACCTGTACAGAATAAACTCCTGGTTTTTAGAGCACCAAAAGAACATTGGAATATAAGTTCAAAAGCCTATGTACTAGTCTTAGCAAACTAGGTAGCTTAATTGCGAAGGGCTTGTTGACATACAGATTCTCTAGTGTTAATCTAGAAATCTTTCAGATATCTCTTATATTTGCTCTCTCTAGTCTCTGTCAATTTGTCCATAAGGGTTTGAAGTAGGGCTTTTGCCCATAGCAGGTCTTTAATTAAGTGTCTGCCAATTTAAAATATAATTGTTCAAGTGTCAACAAAATTGTCTGAAGTCCAAAGGTTCCTTTGTGAACACTGATCTATAGGGAAGAAACTTAACAACCCAAAAACGAGTACATAATCAACTACATATTCATGCCCTATGTCCATTAATCATGTCTGTGTTTAAATTACATGAAAAGTATTTCTTTTCTTAAAAATCACACACAGAATATACTGACTTGGTTCTGGATGCTTTTCAGTTTCTCCAATTTGCAACATGTTGGTATTTATCTCCACTGTTGGGGAAACATCATCCTTGTCACAGTTTTCTAAAAACAGAATGTGTTTAGTTTTTTGTTTTTAATACAATCATGATACATACATTCTTCAATAGCAAAGTAAATTCAGAAAATATATATTGAGTAACTATTGTGTGCAAATTACTCTGCTAGGTGCTAGGGATACAGAAGTGAAAATGGCAGTCTTTCCCCAGCTTACCATCTATTAAAGGATACAACACATACATAAATACATACATATTATATATGTACATGCATGTATAATACAGAGACATACATATATGAAAATACATGTATATATACACATATACATACATATATATGAAAATACATGTAATACAAATGACAATATGGTGCAAAGAAGAAAAATAAACAAAAAAATCTGTAAGATTCAGTTGAAGGAAGATTAAGTAAATTTTCCAGCTTTCAAAAATGCATCATCATTTATCTGTCTTGTAGGAAATGCCATTCTATAGTCAACTGCACCACTCTGTTTCGAGGTATTCCTTCTTTAGCAATTTTCTTTTTTTTGAACAATATTAATCATAATAGTATACATTTATATAATAACAGATAACACTTAAATAGTGTTTCACTTCCCCCCTTGCTGCTCACCTGGACATCTCCTGAAAAATATCTTCTGTCCCCTAAAAATACCATCTTCCTAAAAGATCACATGAGTTCTGAAACTCAAATCTTCAAAGTATCCCCTACCCCTTATACCTCTTCTTCCCTCTGATTACAAAGGATGGAGAGTAAACATCAGAGAATTCTTGCCACATCCTCTATTTAATGAGGGAGCCCAAGGTCATAATTTCCCACCTGGCTACAGAACTTCACGTACCGATGCTGAGTACGCTACCTCCCCTTGTTCTGTTCCCCACCCCCTACTTTTTACAGCCTTTTTTCTAATGTGTCTTCTCCCATTAGAATGTGAACTCTGAGGGTAAGAAATGTATTTCGCCTTTCTTTATATCCTCACTGGAATATAAAGAGCACTGGGCTGGGAATCAGGAAGGCTCATCTTCCCAAGTTCAAATCCTCAGATACTTAACTAGCTGTGTGACCCTGGGCAAGTCACTTAACTCTTTTTCCTTCAGTTCCTCATCTTTTAAATTAGCTGGAGAGTAAAATGGCAAACCACTCCAAAAAAAAAAAAACCCTAATGGGGTCACAAAGAATTAGACATGCCTGAAAAACCACTAAACAACAACAGACTGCTTTAAGTTGGTAAAATCCTTAACAAATATTACCTCATTTGGTCTTCTAAACAACACTGTGAGGCAGAAACTATATTATCCCCATTTTACAGAGAGAGAAACAGAGTCAGAGTAAAGTTAAGTAATTTGTCCAGGGTTATAAAGCTATTAAGTGTCTAAGAGGGATTCAAACACAAATCTTTCTGACTTCCAAGCTCCCATTCTAATACCCATGACACACAGCCTGTTGCCCAGAGTCACAAAGGTGATATGTCAAAGCTGGAAACTGATCACAGATTTCCCAAATCCATTACCCCACACTGCTTCTCATATCCTTGAGAGCCGATATGGAAAAAGCGTATCATTTCTTCACCTCAAAGGCTATGTGATTTTATCTATGTAAATATTCTCTCCCCTAACAGAGACAAGTAAACCTTGCATACCTTCTCAGATGGATTCATGAGCTGCTCCAGTAAAAAAAATTCATCATTTGATAGCCAATCTTCTGTTAATGTACCTCTCTACACTTAGGTGGACAGTCTTTAGAAAGCACTTTTGTTACCAGAGGCATTCTAAAAACCCTTCTAGCTTTTATTACCTTTTATTTATCAAGGTTTGGGAGCTTTTAGCTTTGAGAGCCCATAATCACCTCCATACTATGCTAAAGCATCAGAATAGGACTTGGATAGAAAAAAGAAGGCATGAGAGATTGAATTTTTACTTATTTTGTTTAAGCCTTGCCTTGAAAAAAATTATAATTAACGTGGGTTTACCTTTACTTATATTAACACCTGGAGCAGACAAAACTATGTCCTTTGTAACAGAAGCGTCTAAGTCCTCATCAGACCTGGACTGGGTTTCTGATTTAGTGATTTTTCTCATCAATGTCAGTCGCACAGTTTGTCCCGTATTTCGTAAAAGCTCTACCGCTTGCTGGTTTGTAAAGCCCTGCAGATCCGTGCCATCCACCTTAGAGAAAAGGAGGTCAGATGAAGCATCAACACATGATTCTTCATTCAACAAATATGCTGCCAGGCACTATGAAAGATACAATATTATACAGGACAGTTCTCCTTAAGAAGCTAACATTTTAGCAGAGAAGATAAGACTTTAGGAAGTCTTAAAGGTCAGTGATTATTTCATTTTTTTTTGTTTTGCATTTGAATACTCCCACCTTACCATAATTCCTAGCATATAACAAATGCTTGTTGATTGATTGGTTGATAACACATACACCAATAACAATTTAATGGAATACCAGATATTTTCTATATAGTGAGAAATAAATTACTCCAGGAGGTAAGAGGAATGTAAACCCATGCTTATAATTATTTTTTTTTATCTAAAATCAAGTCTATAGTGGATAGAACAAAAAAGTAAATTTAATCACCTTCCTTTTTTAATCCACAGTTAATGCCAAAAAAATTCCAAAATAAAAAGAAAATTAGATGAAATGGTGATTATATGTGGTCTGTAATCACTATCTCATACTTTTTTCATTTTGAAATTATTTTATACACAATAACACTGTGAATAATTTTGAGATCTTCTGCAATCCTTAAGCCATTATACATTGCTCGAGTCACAGACAAAAAGGATATAAACATATATAGGAAAGGGTTTAAATTTTCATGACACAAGTTGGTAAACCTGTGTGACTATAAAGCACAGTCAGTGCCATGGATAAACTCATCCTGGGATATTGACATAAAACACGCACATATATAACACACATTCTTTTTCAATATTTCAAGGACCCATGATATTATCAATGAGGGTATTCCCTTTACTGGCAGAGACTGTAGCCCTTCTTCTCCTTGCTAGATCATCTATATGAACTGTTGTGGCCAAAAAATTCTCTACCCAGTAGCCATCCTTCTGGAATGAAGCTAGCTGGCATGGTCCTTCTATAATTATAAGATAGCCTATTGTTGGGCCTGCGTACTCCCCTGGCACAACCTCTGAAAAGCCAGGGTCACCCTCCACAACATGAGATATAGGATACGTAAAGACATCTCATGCACATACAGATATAAAATATTCAGGCAATGAGCATTTAGTCAGTAACTCCTAGGCTTAGTGGACACAAAGACAAAATTATATAGGCCCTGAACTCAAGGAGCTTATGTTCTTAAGGGAGAGACATCATGTACAAATATATGCATAAGTAAAAAAGGTATAAAATAAATACAAGGTTATTGGGGAAGACACTAAAATCTGAAGGTGGAGGTCAAGAAAGTCCTCCAGTTTCCTGTGAAGAAAATTAGAGATTCTCAGAGGTTAACAGTGAGGTAAGAGGACATTCCAAGAATGGAGGACAAACTTTTCAAAGGCAGAGAGGCAGTGAGGCAGTGAGGCAATGTCATGTCAGTCAATCAGTTAACGAACATTTATTAGGCACCTATTATGAGCCAGAATATGCAGAAACACATAGGAACATATCTATATATTAGAATTAAGAGAGGCAAATGGTTGCTATAGAAGGTAGGATTTTAGCTGGGATTTGAAGGAAGCCAGGAAAACCAAGAAAGAAATGAGGAGGGAGAGCACTCCATGCATAGGGGTTAGCTAGTCCAACCTATTCATCGATTCACTATTTTATATATATACATATACACAACTTGCAAATGTTTGCCAAATAAAAAAGTCACAGTAGAAATAGCACCATATTTGCAGCAAGAGGAACTGAGTTCAAATCCTGACTCTGCTACTCACAACCTATATAACTCTCTAGGCAAACCATCAAACCAGTCAGGACCTGAGTGTTCTTGTGTGAAAAAAAGGAGTTGTCATACTAGATGATCTATAAAGTTGCTTCCAACTAAAGATCCATGATCTTTTAGTTTGTCACCAGAAGCTGGTGACAAACCATTAACCTCTTCACACTCAGTGAGGTGGGTGCCCAGACTACAGACAGAAAATACAATGGTGGCTCCATATGGGAAGCTTTTGTTACTTTAGAATAACTGAGTAGTACAACCTTTGAGAACCCAAAATCACTTCCACATATCAATGAGGGGATTAGCTTCAAGATTAACGTAAGTGCCTTGGAATTATGTTTATAAAAAGGATCTGGCAAAAATCCAATCCAAAATATACATATATATGCGTATATATACGCATATATACATATATTTCATGATTATACAGAATTCCCCAAAATACCAAAGAATTTAAGCTGAGGAGTTGCTTTTTCATTTTCGTTTCACAATTCCATGTTTTCTCTCATAACACAGCTGTATATCAAAATAGACTGTATGCCCACTTATCCATTTAACTTCAATAATTTAAATTCATCAAATAGTCTAAAGGAAACAAAATAGGTACTTTCTCCTCCATTCTTAGAAACTGAAGCTCATACTTAAAACATATAATCTTCCCTTCCCCTTTTCTTTCCCCTACTCCATATATGAAGAGGAAAGATTTTTTTTTCTTTAAGAATAGTAACAGGCAGGAAAGTATCCCTAACTATTCAAAGATATACTTTCTACCTGGTGAAGGTCTTTGAAGCAGCTAGTGGTACAGTGGATAGTGCTGATCCTAGGGTCAGAAATATCTAAATTCAAGACAGTTAAAAATTATGTGACTCTAGGCAAGTCACTTCATCTGTTTGCCTCAGTTTCTTCAACTGTAAAATGGGGATAGCTATAGTTCCTACTTCTCAAGGTTATTGTGAGGATCAAATGAAATATTTGTAAAACACTTAGTATAGTGGCTGGCACATAGTAGGCACTTAAAAAATACTTCCTTCCCAAGGTAAATGCCAAATAGAAGTAGGAGCCCTAACCAGTTTTGGTTCCTCTATGTTCATATATACCAGGATATATGGAGATATAGACTCAACTATGGTGTCTAAATCACTAGGACCACAAGGCACCAATCACTTAATGCAAAATGGATCACAAAAGAAAGATTCAGCCTATCCAGTAATGTCACAAACTGCTGCCGAGATACATCAGTTCTTCACTACAAATAATTTGGGATTTTTCTAGTGGGTAAATATTGTAAACTTGTAAAAGTTCTTACTTTCCCACCACAAGCGAGATGGCATCAAACCAGTTACTCATACACCCAACGCCTTCAAAATGACTTAACAGATCATACTGGGCAGCATTTAACTTCAAACTTAACATAGTAATATTCTGAAGTCCTTTTTTGATGTTTGTTGGAAAGTTTATAGTAATTTTCTTAAGTAAATGTAATTCTCAAGTTGTCTTTAACAAAGATTATCATGTATCAGTCAAAAAATGTTATTAAAATACCACTACTAGGTCTGTATACCAAAAGAGATAAAAAAAAACAAAAAGGAAAAGGACCTATATGTACAAAATATTTATATTCTTTTCTGGGGGTAAAGAATTAGAAGTTGAGGGGATTCCCATCAACTGGGGAATGGCCGAACAAGTTGTGGTATGTGATTAGGATGGAATACTATTGTACTGTAAGAAATGATGAGCAAGATGCTCTCAGAAAAACCTGGAAAGACATGCATGAGCTGATGCAAAGTGAAATGTACTGTGTACAAAGTAACAGCAATATTGTAAGTCGTGAATAACTTAGATTCTCAGCACTACAATGATCCACAATACAACTCTGAAAGATTTACAGTGAGAAATGCTATCCATCCCCAGAGACAGAACTGTGGGTGTCTGAGTATGGAATGAAGCATACTTTTTTCCAACTTTAATTTTCTTGAGTTTTCTTTTTCTTGTCTGTTTTCTTTTACAACATGACTATTACAGATGTGTTTTGCATGACTACACATGTATAACCTATATGGAATTGTTTTCCTTTTCAATGGGGGGGGTTGTAAGGGAAGAAAGGAGAGAATTTGGAACTCAAAGTTTTGAAGATAAATGTTAAAGATTTTTTTCATATGGCTGGTAAAAAATAAAATACTAAATAAAAGCTTAAAAAAGAATGCCACTAATACTGTCATAATCATACAGTAATTTAAAGTTTACAATTCTTTTCTTCTTTCATGACAAACTTGTTGTGTTATATAAAGCAGGTAGTACAAGGATTATTCCGTTTTTACCAATGAGGAAACTGAGGCTTGGTGAGGTTAAATGACTTGCTCAGAATAATACAGACAGTTTTGGAGCTGAGACTCACATATGTCTTCCAGTCCAAGTATTTTTCCAGTAGACTATCTGATTCTATCTAACATTAATTAAATAAACAAACCATCTAATTGTTACAAAAGAAAAAGTGCTAAAACAGTGAAAAGAATTAAAAGTTATTTGTTTTAACTCCATAAATATAAAAAACAGTGAAATGTTTATTACCTGGCACCCAAAACTCCAGTGGGTCTGAAGAGGCTGGCATTATAGCAACTCTGACATTTAATGAACAGTCAAGTAGAAGAAACTTCAATTATGCCTATAGTCATGAAAATGCAACCTGAGCTGAGTACCTTTTAATAGCATGTTTTAAATTATCCACAAGGTGCTAATGTTTCCTCTTCAAATTGATGTAAATGTGAAAAATTGGATTGCAACTAAAATAAGTTTTGTTTAATAAGAGGGATTATAACTAACTAGGAGATTAAAGTGGTGACTGTTGATGAAAAATTGAATATTTTGAATTTTGCTAAAAACCAAAGAGCTTTGATGAAGATTTCAAGGTAATGATTCTAAATACAGTAAGAAACAACTTGGAAAAACAAAAACAAACAAACAAACAAAAAATTTACTAGCTGTGTGACCCTGGGCAAGTCACTTAACCCCACTTGCCTCACCAAAAAGCAAAAACAAACAAACAAACAAAAAACCAACTTGGAAACTTTGGCCTTTGAATCAATAATTAACTTTTCAGTTAAAAAGTCATGTTACTCTCTCTAAAAGGTTACATAGCCTTCCATCTTAATGAGAAAGAAGCAAATGACAAGTGTAGGCAAAATGTAGTACTATAGCTCAAAATATTTTAATTTGTATATTTGTATATTTCCACATGTGCCCAAGTATATATTCGGCATATTAAAAAATTACTCTGTAAGCTCCTTGAGGGTAGGGGAGTTTTCAGTTGTGCTTTTGTATCAAAAGTGCTAGTACATAGCACTAACATAATCAAGGCTTACTGATTGATTGATTTCTACTTCACTTATTTACTTACCTATTAAGTACAGTGTTGTAGTAGAGAAAAAGAAGGGGAACAGAGAAAGAAAACAAGCTGGTAAAGAAGAGAGTAAATAAGTGTGTTGAGACCAAGTTTGAGCAAAGGTTAAAAACACAGGATCTGAGGAGCACTGTGGTACTTGTCAACAGCTTAATTATAGGTACGAAAAGTCAGGTGAGAAAACAGAAAGTAGGGAATCAGGCATATTTCCAAACTGAGGTTTATTTGTTTTGCTGAACAGAAACACTAAGGAAAGCTGTTTGTATTCTATAGACAAATTGGGTGAAGGCCACCCAATCAGCAGAATCAAGGTTCAGTCACTACTACAGAGTTTCTGCTAGGAGTCATGAAGAATTTCATGGAGAAGGTACAGAGTAACAGAGCAGAAAGCAAAAGTCTGAGGAGGAGGAGTACTAGTAGCAGTAATCAGCAGCAGCAGCAGCAGGAACATCCCCATCATCTTGTCTGCACCTGGAGTTGTCCCAAGATGCTTTCAATGAGTTTGCTGAAGGTGAACTTACATCTCAATACTTTAATTCAATTACAAAATTCAGTCACCTTATCCACCTCCATAGTAGCCCACAGAAAATTAAATGTAAAAGAATAACAACAGCGTTGTACCAGAAATGTTTCTGTCTTAACTCCATCAAAAAAAAGATAAAGAAATAATAACAATAACAACTCTTATTTCAGAAATCCATGATTTTACTAGGTGTAGGTGCTCTGGTGATCAACAAAGAATTCCTCCATACCTTACTGAATAATCTTCTTGAGTGTTTGTGGCCAAAAAATTTAACATATCGTACCTTATAATCTACCTTATAATCTACCTATAATCCACTATACTACCTTATAAACCCTTCTGCACTGAACTAGACTACTCCTTGGACAACAGACACATCATTGCCAGGTCTGTACTAGACGTCTTTCCAGCTTTGTTGCATCTACCAGGGCTTGCACATTCCTGACCCAGCCTTCAGAGCCCTGAGCTACCTCTCTGTCATGCATGGTAAAGCACTGGAAAAGAACTTTAGTAAAGGAATAACAATAATAATAATAATAATAATTCCTATTATTTACATGTATCTTTTAATTCAATTCAACAAGTATTTATTAAGTGTCTACTACATATCAGGCACTGGAATATTAAATGAATGAATGAATGAATGAATGAAATGGTCCCTGCCCTCAAGTAGCTCACATTCTATTGTATAGACAAATATGTTCACAGTATACAGATAAATACAAAATATATACTGAGAAAATATAAAGTTGTTACCAGTGGGAGGGAGGAAGAACAACCAGGAGTCGTCAGGAAAAGGCTATTATAGTAGGTAATATGTGAAATGGACCTTGAAGGGAGGAAAATGAAGTGTTCCAAGCACTTTATTATTTATAAATTACTTTTTCTATAGTTTCTCATTTGATTCTCATATAAGTACTATGAAGTTATCAGGATATATATGATTATTATTCCCATTTTACATATGAAGAAACTTCATTTCTAGCAGGTTAAGTGACTTGTCTAAGGTAATATAGGTAGTAAGAAACAGAGCCAAATCTCCAAATCCAATGTTTACTGATCTGCAGAATCTGGTAATTTGTTCCTATTTTTATGTCTTTGAAAGAACATTTGTTTTAGCAGAGAGAAAGCATTAAATTGGATTAAGGTCCCTATTAATCTTAGGAGACTTCTTTTGAAAATGGTCCTGCACATCTGTACCCCAAAAGTTTTCTGATAAGTATCATTTTTGTAAGGTTACTTGTTAGCAACAAAGAGGTTGATTAAAAGAAAGGGAGCCTATATCTTCTGAAAAATCTCAATCAATACCCACAATTAAAAGATACCCTGGTTATGTCCAAAACTACACACCTAACCAGTCCAAGAGAAAAAACATGAGTGTCACCAAGTGGTCCAACTAAGTAACTGCATGTATTTAGTTTTCCATCTACATCATATATATAAAGGCTATGATTCCCAATCTTTGGTCATGGACTCCTGATAAGATCATAGAGTTAATGCAAGGGGTCCATATTCTGTATATTTCTTCAATTACCTAAGATAATTGTACATAATTTTGTTATGTGTGGACACTCAAAATTTTTCATGTTAAATATCTGAAATATCTTAACTAAGACTTGTGATTTCTGGGCTTAACCACTCTAAAACATAAATCTAATGTATAAATATGATATTAAAGTGATAAGTAAAATATAAAACAGACACCAAGAACTTATTTAAGAAAATTCATTCCAGAGTAGAACTTGAAATCAATACAGATCTGATCCTGTTTCCAGTCTATAACACAATATAAATTGAACACATAGATGTCTCAAAATCTTTAAGATATGGTTAAGTTATTATTATTAAAATGTTAAACTTCTATTATCCAAAAGATTCCATAATCAGAGAACCTCATTCATCAATAAAGCAGGATAACTGAAGTATTTTTATACGCAATAGGTTCAAATATTGTTAGAGATGGAAAGGTCCTTAAAAAAATTTAATTGATAATAATATAAATTTAAATGTAATGACCAATATTCTCCCCAAGAAGAGATAAGGTGGGGGACTACTGGAACAGAATATTACATACCATATCAGACACATTGCTATATATAGATTTATATCTACATGTAGATTTTGAAATTAGCTTTGAACCTTTTTTCCTTATCTACTTTTCTTCCTTACAAGGGAAATGTTACTTAAAAACTAAGTATCAATCAATAAAGCTTTTAAAATAATATTTAAAATGACAACTTTTAAAAAAGAAATCTAATCTATCCCCATCATTTTAAAGATGAGGAAAGTGACTTACTGCTATAATTTGGTCACCAACACGGATCCTTCCATCATGTTCAACAGCACTGCTTTTTGTAATGCTCTTTACAAATATACCTGAAGATTCTGAGAATTGTTAAAAACAAAACAAAACAAAAGTTACTATTTTGTTATTGTTATATATGGCAATCTAAGCATGCCCTTAGAAATATCTAAATTAAAGATAACAGAAAACAAAACAGACATATCCCAGTTCCATATCTAAAGCTATAATTTTATATAATCCTACTGGCTACCATTTTAGATAAGCAGCATAATGGAATCCCAGTGGCCAGCCATTAAAAAAGAAACAAAAAACTGTTTTAAACTAATGCTAATAGACAGACCAACATACCCCCCCCCCAAAAAAAGAAGATGAAAACTGAGCATATTATTAAAGAGATTATTAAAGTAGATTTTACTTGACCTTCAATTTTACTGCCATCACCTCTACGATCCATTCCCTATTTCAATGGCACAATGAATTACAAATCTTGCTTATATGGATAAAAGGACTACATATTCTAGAGGGTGCATTGAGACCTTTATGCTTATGTTCTCCTCAATGACTACATATCCTTGGATTAAGGGATCAAATGTCCCTTATCAAGATTGGTATTTCCATACTCATTTCACCTAAGGTTCCAGGTCTAAAGTTGTTTTTTATAAGCATACAGTCTAAAGATATCAAATGAAGCTTTACTGTTTATATATCTATCTGAAAAAAGAATGTTTCATAAAGCAAAGACATCAGACAAAGCGACAGGACCACAGTTTTAAAACATTTTATCTTAAATTATTACCTGATTTTTTATCTCCAATGTAACCAGCAATAGTTATTCCTAATCCTTGGATATTTTTGGTGAGCTCTACATCAAATGTTTCAATCTCTCCATTTTTCTTCATGGACATTTCCACCTTAATTAAAAGAGCAAATAAAAATAGAGACTTGAGCTCCATTCAAGAAAATGCAATTCTTACATAGGAATGATATGACTGATTCAGACTCCACAGAAAGCTAGGAAAACTATTTACTTATTGAGAATTTCTAGCAATGTGGCCTGCTTCTTTTGCTAATCTAACATAGCTTAAAAAATAAGATTCCTTTTCTAAAAGGATGTCCCAGAAAATCTGCATAAAAACAGAATTTTAAAAACCAAATCCTGCATCGTCATTGACTTCTATTACTCTTTTGGAGGTGATTCTTCTTTACAAGTATGAGTTCAATTTGATCCTCTCAATCAATCAACAGGCTTTAGGGATGCAAAAATAATCCTTGCCCTTACGGGGCTTTCATTATAATAGGAAAGAAAACATAAATGGCTAGAGCCTAATATTTAAATTAACAGATTTTTTGCACCACTACACTCCATTCACCACTCCAAGCCATTCTTTCATATAACCAATAATAGTTCATATTTATGTAATGCTTTGAGATTTGTCAAATACACTCCCCAATAATAACCCTGTGAGGTAGATGGTATAAGGATTGCTATCCTCATTTTATGATAGATGAGGAAACTGAGGCTCACGGAGGTCAAGTCATGCTCACAATTACATAAGTCAGAACTCAAATCCAGGTTTCTTGATTATAAGATCAGTGCTCTTTCCATTACAACAATATTATATTTTCCTAGATCAATAAAGTACATAAGGGCACTGAAGTGCACAAGGAATCCCATAGCAAGCTGCATGCCTTAAGTCTCTCCCCATTCTAATCCATGCAGTCCCCAAAGTGACTTTCCTAAAGTGCAGGTCCCACAATGTCACCTTCCTACTGAATAAACATCAAGTCATTCCTTATCTCCTCCAGGATCAAATATGAAATTCTCTTTTTTGGCATTCAAAGCCCTTCATAACCTATCCCTCTACTCTCCTCCCCCCGCCCCACACATATATACCTTTCCGGTCTTCTTACCCTTCATTCCGCAGCATGTACTCTTCTGTCCCGTAACCTTGGCCTCCTAGCTGTTCCACAAACAAGCCACTCTTCCTTTCTGCTCCAGGCAATTTCTCTGGCTATCTCCCGTTGCTGGAATGTTCTCTCTCTTTGCCTACTGGCTTTCCTGGTTTTCTTCAAGACCCAGGTAAAATCCCACCTTCTACAGGAAGTCTTTCCCACTTCTCTCTATTATTTCCTATTTATCCTCTATTTGCTATTTACCCTATATATCCTATTTATCCTCTGAGTGTGTATATGCATACATATGTAAAAATCCCATACATCCTATACAAATATGTACTTTGTACTTGTCTTCCCCATTAGATTGTGAGGTCCTTGAGAACAACTGTCTTTTGTCACATTTTGTATGCCCAGTGCTAAGCTCCTGGCACATAATAGGCACTTAATAAATGCTTAAGACTGGCAAGTTCTTTTGTAAAATGCATAACCCTCTTGTAATATGTAAAATTATATCTTACTGTTAAGAAGCCTGATTTAGTTGACAGACTCTAAATTAAGAATACTTGGGTTCAAGTCCCATCTCTGACACATACAGGTTTTGTGACCCTGGGAAAGTCAAGTCTCAATGCCCTAAGCAATTGGTTTCTAAGATCATAGTTATCTTGTAAGATCTGGTCTACTTAAGTAGAGGGATTTTCTAGTTTCACTCGGTGCTCCCTATACCAAAGAAATCTCATATCTGGTATAAAACAAAACCCTATATTGTATTTTTTAATTACAATTTTGTAACAGGCTTCTTTAAATAAGAATACATTTTTACTACACACAAATAACCTTCCTTCTTAGAATGCCAAATATGATCTAGATTTCATAAATGTGCCAACACTCTCCAATCTGTGAAATTGTGTCGCCAATGAATGGTTAGGCATTAATGAGCTGGTCATTAGCTGACTAGTGAAATAATTCAAATCACTAATACACAATGAATCATGAGGCCATCGGTAGACTGAACTGGATTACCAACACAAGCCATTTTTACTATAAAATGACAATACCCTAGTGTCTGATCTTGGGCCAAGTGGGGTCTAAAGCTGGGTATTCTGGACCTCTTCTAATCCTAACTACTTCTCATTGTCATTCTACCTAAATGAGATATAATGCTATACATAAAGTTTGATTTCATTTTTCCCTTACACATAATTATCTGTGCAAACTTAGCAAAAGTTTAGAATTTAGATAATTACCAGAAAATGACAGGATGAAATCTGCTTCAATGGAAACAAATGTGTTTTCTATTTTTAATAAGACTTATGCGAGTGCTATTTTAGAGGGTGGCAATTTGACTATCAGATGATTTTAAAAGGGGCACAAGCTCCAGAAATGAGGATATGCACAGAATAGAGTTTTTTAAGCATTCAATTACATCAAGTGGTTTTGGTACTGCATTCATTTATGTATTGCTGAATAAAATCTTTTGTCTATCACAAAAGAATGCCATTTAAATGCTTTCCCAAACAAGATTTCTCTTTCTTTTTTCTTTCCTTTCCCAAAAAATAACAGCCAAACATATACTAAAAACAACAAAATCATGGAAAATTCTAGTTATCTACTGAAAAAATTTCAAACATTTGCTAAAGAGTTCAAAATTCCTCCTCCTTCCCCTACCCCATCCCCCAAGAATTAATAACTTTCTGTTTAGAATAACATCAATTTGATTTTTTTAATTAAAAAAACTATGAGAACATAATATGTATCTTTACAATTATTATAATAATTATCTCTTAAACTTTTTTACTGCTTTTCTTTAAGAACTAAGTATTGGGAACAAAATATTTTTGGAAGCAAATTCTTATAATTAGTAAACACTCCCTAAGGGCATATAGCCAAAAAATTGAAATAATGACCCCACTGCAAAAATTTTCACATGAATTTTCAAAACGTTCTTTTGTATCAGAAGTCAAAGACAAGTATGAGATATCCCTATGAATAAAGATTTGATCACTAGCAATGGGCAGCAAGCTGCAGATGTAAACCATAAACTAAATACTACATTTTGCTAGAGTGTTTAATCAGAATAAAAGGAAGGACCATTTCCCACAAACCTTTTGTCTTCAATTTGGCATCAGGTATAAGATGGTTATCTGTTCTTTCCAAACAAAATGCTAATTGTTTTACGTTAAAAACTTGTCCATTTTTATCAAATACAAAATTTTTTTCAAAAAAAATTAATGAAAAGGCTGTTTTCTAGTTGCTTAGATTACAAAAGACCTTTAAAGATCCTTCTAGTTAGGCAAACAAAGAGGGAAAAGACTAGAAGATTTAATATGTTAATACTAAAGGCTAGTCTTTAAAAAATATATCTGTCAGAACACCATATCTCAACACTTTATCTGAGCATGAATGAATGATTCATTACAGAATAACCTTTTTTCATAATTTACTTTTTCCCTCCTAAAAAAAAAAGCCAAGTTTTGTTTTGTTTTGTTTTGTTTTATTTCCCTCATCAGGCTATTTGAGGAAGGGCTCTGTAAATTTTAAGCTACTGTATAAATGTAAGCTGTTATTCCTGTATAGCTAAATAGTCTCCTTGCTTAACAGACTGCCAAGTTTTTAGCAAATTTCTCTTTAATGCATTTGTTAATTAGAACTAAAATGCAACAGAACTTTGCCCATTAGTTCAGGTTCTGCATAGAACAACTTTATAACATAAGTACTGTCTTCCAAATCAGTTTGTGTACACTCACCTGCTTTTCCGACATGGAAGACGTTGAAGAGGATAACGTGATGCCTGAAGAAGTTGTTACCATGGGTTCTTCTATGACGCCTCTTGCAATCACCAACTTGACTCGATTCCCACACTGCCTGAGTACTTGTGCTACTTGCTCACTGCTCATACCAGCCAAGTCTGTCTCCCCAATTTTCAGGATATGGTCTCCGCTACATAATCGCCCATGCTGAATGAGATAGTGAATGATTAATGACCCAAATATTGTCCTACAATGGAACTACTGACCTAAAAAATTATTATTTTTAAATCACATCATTTTTGTAAAGTCAAATGTAGGAAGAAATTAGCTTTGTGAAGTGCCAATAAAGGATGGACATACTTTGCTTGTGAATTTAAGAGCCACTTATTACAGAATAAATGAGGCATACACAAATGAGCTTCTAGTCAGATCAAACAAAAGATATTTATCGTGTATCTTCTATGTGCAAAAATAAAAACAAACACATAAAAATTATCACTTGAATGGGTGGAGACATAAAGGAAGGTTGGGTCATTATAAGCTGGTAAAACTCATGGCACTGAAGGTATCTAATAAGCAAAAGTAAGAAAAAAGGTAGTAGAAAGGAAAAAAAAAAACTCAGTCAGCTTGGTGTAGTGGATAAAATGGTGAGTTTGGAATCACAAGACTGATTCAGATCTCACATCTGCCACTGACTTTGCTACGTGACCATAGGTAAATCACTTAAACTCTCTGAGCCTCAGTGTCCTTGGCTATAAAATGGTAATGATAATTAATATTTGTGCCCCTTACCTCCCAGAGATGTAGTGAGAAGCTGTTGCTATGATACTTGTAAATACCTTAGAACAGGGCTTACACATAATAGGCTATATGTAAATGTTATTTATTGTTGTTATTATTATTAAATTGTATGCAAAGCACAACCTAAATGTCAGCTATTTATAGAAAGGAAACAAAAAGGAAAGAGCAAAAGCCCAAAGACAGGGACGCACAGAAATACTCAAGGGACAAAATAGCAGGTCAGACTGGCAAGAACTTTCACAAAGTATTCACAAAGAGAACAGATGCAGATACAATTGCAAAGGTAAAGATAATCCCAGGTTGTGGAGAGCCCATGAAGATGGTGGAGGAATACGTGCTTCATTCAACAGCTCACCCATTCTATATCTATTCTCCATAATACTGCCACAACAACCTTCCTTTAAAACACTGGTCCAGCCTTGTCACTTTCCCGCTACTAATTCTATAGTTGCTCCCTACTGCTTCCAAGATAAAATATGAACTGCTCAGCTTGGCATTTAAATCATTCCACAATTGGACTCCAGCCTAACTTTCCAGATTGATTTCATGTTACTCCCTTTCACTAACTCTGGGTTCCAGGACAATTAGCCTAACTGCTATCCCCTGAACTCAGCATTTTGTCTCTTTGCCACCAAATCTTAGTACAGATTTTTTCCCACCCTCATCATCTCTGCATTTTACAATTCTCAATTTCCTTCAAGGTTCAGTTCAGGTGCCACATCCTCTGTGAAGTCTTCTTGATCTCTCTAGTAAGTAATGAGCCCCGCTCCCCCTTTCTCTCTCTTTCTCTCTCTCTCTCTCTCTCTCTCTCTCTCTCTCTCTCTCTCTCTCTTTCTCTCTCTCTCTCTCTCTCTCTCCTCAAACAATTGTGCATTTCCTTATCAGTGTATACTGTAGAATGTCAGTTCCTTGAGGGCAGGGACTGTGTTTCTAGAAGTCTCAGGATCCTAGAACAATGTTTTTATTAATACCAAGAGATTAGTAAGTCTTTGTTTAATAGGTTTAAATCTCTCCATTAAATGTCTCTGCCTAGTAAGAAAACCATGACAGTGATGGAAGAAATTCATCTAGTTGAGTATGCTGAACATATTAGAGAAAAGTGTCAGGAGGTAGTTTAGAAGTCTAATACAGTACTCCAGACATACTTCAAATGAAAAGAACCTGTGAACTACAGTGTTAGATGTAGGGAAAGGAAGGAATAAAGGAAGAAATATTAAAAGACATTTTGAAGAAAAAGTAGATAGGATTTATCTTGGCTAAATAGGATTTAGTCAAAGATGATAAACATAATTAAATTATATATGCAGAAAATTAGATGATCGTGATATCAACTATTTCTTATTCTATTGTTGTTGCTGTTGTTGTTTAGTCATTTCAGCTGTGTCTGACTCTTCATGACCCCATGAGGGTTTTCTTGGCAAAGATCCTGGAGTAGTTTGTCATTTCCTTCTCCAGATCATTGGACAGATGAGGAAACTGAGGCAAAAAGGGTTAAGTGACTTTCCCAGGGTCACACAGCCAGTAAGTGTCTGAGGTCCGATTTGAACTTAGGAAGATGAGTCTTCCTGACTTTAGGTTTGGCACTCTATCCACTGTGTCACCTAGCTGCCCCTTATACTATTATAATACAATCAAATTGAGAAAGTGTAAATGAATTGTATTTACACAAATTATAAAAAATATTTAATAACAGATCTGAATCCTTCCCTCATCCTTAACTATATACATAGATACTTAATAAATGTGTATGTATGTACATACATATGTATACACACATCTGCATATATTTATACATATTTATTAAGCACCTATGTGCCAAGTACTGTGCTAAGTACTGGAAATATAAAAAGAGACAAAAAGATAGTCCCTACCCTCAAGGAACTTATAATCTAATGGAGGAAACAACAGTCAAACAAATATGTACAAATCAAGCTATATACAAGATACATAGGAAATAATTAGCAGAGGAAAGATAACTAGAATTAAAAGGGGTTGAGAAAGGTTTTCTGTAAAAGACAGGGTTTTAGTTGGGACTTAAAGGAAGACAAGAAAGTCAGCAGGCAAGGTTGAGGAGGGAAATTTTTCCAGGCATTGGCATTAGAAAATTCCTGGAGGGGAAAGATAGAAAAACCAGGAGACCAGTCTCACTGGATGAAAGAGTACATGGCAGAGAGTAAGATGCAAGAAGACTGGAAAAGTAGGAGGGGGCTAGGTAATGAAGGTCTTTAAATGAGATACAAATGATTTTCTATTTGTTCCTGGACTCAATGGGGAGCCAATGGTGTTTACTAAGCAGGGAGGTGTGCTGTGACATGATTAGACCCTCATTTTGGAAAAAATCACTTTGGTGGCTGAATGGAGTACGGATTGGAGTGCGGAAGAGACTTGAGGAAGGCTGATCCATCAGCAGATTATTGCAAAATGATAGACTGATCGATTGATAGATAGAAAAGCTATATATATAGACGCACATATGGACATATAGATGGACAGATCTAGTTCTAAACATATGTTAAGACAAGCTTTCTGAAAAATACCTGGAATCTTTATGCCTTTTTGATAGAAGGATAAAGAAATCCCTGTGTCTGCAAAGATGAGAGGGATATCTACTGTACAAATATGCATTAATTTATATTATAGTGCTATAGATCACAAGGGAACACAGTGATTCTTCCATGGAACTATTTCCCTCTTAAATTAGCCTGCAGAGTTAATATTTAGGTCCTTACTTCAAAAGAACTTAAAAAGAGAGGAGCTAGCACGGCTTGGTTATGTTCTCTGCTAAGTAAAGACACACAGCAAGAGCTTTCAATGAAAGCAAACTGCTTATGTTACATCCAAATGCTGTCTAATATTAACAGCAAGAAAGAGCAAAAGCTGATTAATTACATTTCTATTTATTCCTTGATCATAAGACTAAATTTTTACATAATGCTTTCTGCTTTGATTGTCATCATGAGCATAGGAAATATATATTGAGCATAGATCATTGGTATGAAAGTTAAGACATGAAATTAAAATTAGTGTCTGAAATACAGTTCCATTTATAAATGGCTATAATTAAGGATGAACTCTTCACAAAAATAATTAACTTTATCAACTATGGAAACATATCAAAAATCTTTTTCAGTTTCTCTAGAGAGATTAAGAAATAACATGTCCCCCTAAACTGTTTTCCAGACTCCTTGGGGACAGGTTGAGAAAAAAAGGCCTTTCATTAGGTGAATATGCTTAAAGATTATCTCCTCAGTCCCTTGAAGGGATTAGACAAGAATCCACTTTTTGGAACTACCTTTTCATGAAAACAGGGGCACTCTCATGGGCCCCTATTTAACTTCAATTTCCTTAAAGGTAGTGGTCCAGGAGGAATGGGATGGTCACTAGGTTCCTCACTTCTAGTATGTTAGTCCAAAGACTGTATTTTAAGGTATCTTTTCCCATTTCAAGATTTCTATAAATGTTTATTTTTTTGGGGTAGAATCATGTTGGAGGGCATAAGGGATGATGATAGTTTAGACATCTTTTTTTAAACAAGCTAGAAATAGTGTGGATATTAATTAATGGTAAATTAAATAAAACTTTTTGACAGACTGATGCCCAAGTACAGAATACAGTATTAGTATTAATGTTTTTAATCTCAACACAATAAATGTGTGAAGCATCATTACAATTAATGAATTTGTCAATTATTCTTCTGTTACATGTACACTCCAATAAAATCCTACTGTGATCCCTCATCATGCCATGCAGGTTGCCTTGGCAACTCTTTGATGTCAAAGGTTACCGATTATGGTAGCACAGGCTCTGAAAGATGTACTATCAAACTCAAAGGGACCAGTATGGGACTGTACATATGTCATCTAAGAACAAACCCCACCTAATTTGCAGAGGCTCACCACTAGATGATAAATTTTTGAGGTCATAGCAACTCATGAAAATTATCTCCAAAGACTTGCAAGGGCCATAATCTATATTTCAGGAAGGGACCCACACACCAATGAAATCACATATTATTTGAAACTGTAAAAGAAATATCTGTATTAGCCATTGTTTTACTATGTAACCCATATTAAACACATGTTATGCCATGCTGTGCTTCATACACAAAGATGATATGTAACCCATGTTTAATGACCCATGATGAGGATATGAGTTTTTCAGGTGAAATGAAAGGATTTTTTCCCAATAATAGCAACTGGTTGAGCTCTTCTCAAATTCTCCTAGTAACAAATAACAATGCACTTATAAGAGCTGGGTTTAGGAATACTGTCTTTTGTGGCCATGGAACACATTGAAGATAAATGGTAGATACAGGGATGTAATCCAAAGCTTTGATCTCATCATGGGAGTTCTTACAGATAACCTAGACAAAAATTTAGGATGAAACACAGATCTCAGATGACTTTCTTACCTGAGACTAAAGAAAAAAAAATTGATCAATAAAACCTACAGTTCAGTTACTTTAATATTACGTAAGTCATTCATTAAACAAACATTTATTAGATGCCTGCTATGAACAAAAGCACTTTTCCAGTTGCTGGAGATAAAAAGACAAAAATAAAATAGTTTCTGCCATCCAGGAGCTTACTCTACTAGGATATAGTTCAAAGGTTTTGCTTTTGATTTCTAATGAAAGATTATGATACTAACTTATGGTAATTGTAAATAAAATACATCCCCATTAAATGAGATTACCTGATCAGCCACTCCTCCAGGCAAAATGGTTTTTACTATTACTCCAGTTGATTTTCCTCCTACTATACCAAATCCTAGGCCTGATCCATCATTAAGCAATTCAATAGTCTCCACATGTTGCCACTGAACCTGAATAAAAATAATAAATGCTGATATTATAATAGTGCTTTTCAACTTACAAAGGACTTTCCTCACAACGATTTTTTGAGGTAGATAGGGCAAGTACAGTCAATTCGGCTATAACACAAGTTTTGAAAACTCGAATTTGTTCCAACTCGGTACATTAGGGAATATTTTATGGTTTATGCTCAACTTCTTATGCAGAAAACTGCACCACTTCACAATAACTCACAAGATGCAATCTTTCCCAAGCCTAATTCCATAAGCAAACTTTATTTCTTCTTCAAGGCAAAATTCCCTATTTATCGTATATGTTCAGGTTCAGTATAAGCTATGAGCAGAAAAGGTCTGGCTCCTGCCACTTCTACCTTCACTGCCATACCCTATGACCTCCTGTCCTGCCAAGAGGCCCAGAGTTGGGAAGCAGCTCCAGGCTTTGGACTAGACCGCTATTTATTGTAGTATTTATGTTTTTTCTTAACCATTTAACAGTTTATGAAACCATGTAACTGTTTTTATCAAGTTTCTATTTTTATTGTCATTGATAAAGGTTTTGAGAGTTGTGCCCCTAAACCCATTTTTCCCCACATGCTCTATGGGTTTTATTGCATAATTCTACATAGTGCAGTGCTTTTGTGGAATACATATATCAAGTCATAGCAGAAATGCATGCATTATTATACCTATATTTACAGAATGGGGCTTGAGAAGGTAAAGAAAATTGTCCAAATTGACACAGATAGCATCAAAGCCTAGACTGGAACCCAGCTTTTCCGGTTCCAACTCTCCTTTCTGCCTTCCTACTCTCATCTCAAGAATAAATTTACCTAAGTTTGAAAAGAACCGGAAAAAAATTAAAATCTATTGTAGATGATATTATTATGAATTGTTGTTGTTACTATTGTTGAATTATTGAGTTGTATCCAACTCTTCATAACCCCAAGAACCACAGCATGCCAGGCCCTTAAATTCTCCACTATCTCCTGAAGTCTGTCCAAGTTTATGTTTCCATAATACTATATCCATGTTTCCATGATACTATTATCCATATCATCCTCTGCCTTTTGCCTTCAATCTTTCCTAACATCAGAGTCTTTTTCAATGAGTCCTGTCTTCTCATCATGTGGCCAAAATAGTTAAGCTTCAGCTAAAGAATTTGACCTTCCAAGGAATAGTGTGAATTAATTTCTTTAAGTATTGACTGATTTGATCTCCTTGCTGTCCAAGGGATTCTCAAAAGTCTTCTCCAGCACTACAATTCAAAAGTGTCGATTCTGTGGAGCTCAGCTTTACTTAAAATCCAACTCCCACAGTCATATATTGCTACTGAAAAACCATAGCTTTAACTATATGGACCTTTGTTGGCAAGGTGATGTCTGCTTTTTAGTATGCTATCCAGATTTGTCACAGCTTTCCTAAGGAGCAAATGTGTTGTTTTTTTTTTTAATTTCACGGCTGCAGTCACTATTTGCAGTGATCTTGGAGCCCAAGAATATAAAATCAGACACTGCTTCCATTTCTTCTCCCTCCATTTGCCCGGAAGTGATGGGAACTTTTACCCTCATCAAAAGGATTCTTAATTCTTCGTTTTCTGCCATCAGAGCAGTATTATCTGCATATCTGAGATTGCTGATATTTTTCCCAACAACCTTAATTCCAGCTTTTGATTTATCCAGCCTGGCACTTTACATGATGTATTCTGCATATAAGTTAAAGTTAAGTACTACTAGCCTTGTTGTACTCTTTTTCCAATCTTAAACAAATCAGTTGTTCCAGGTTTGGTTCTAACTGTTGTTTCTTGATCTACATACAGATTCCTCAGGAGACAAGTAAGGTGATCTGGTAGTACCATCACTTTTAGGATTTGCCACATTTTGTTGTAACCCACATAGTCAAAGGCTTTAGTGCAGTCAATGAAGCAGAAGTAGACGTTTTTCTGAAACTCCCTTGCTTTCTCTATAATACAGCAAATTATGGCAATTTGGTCTCTGGTTCCTGTGCCTCTTTGAAAATCAGCCTGCTTTTCTGGTACTTCTCGGATCACATATTGCTGAAGCCTAGCTTTCAGAATCTTAAGCATAACCTTGCCGGCATGTGAAATGAATGCAAATGTTCAGTTATTATGGTTACCTTCATTTTTTAATAATATTTTCTTTTTCCCCAATTACATGTTAAAATGATTTTTAAACATTTGTTGTTGTTTTTTTTGTTAAGTTTTGAGTTCCAAATTCTATCCTTTTATGCCTCCCCTCTCTGCCCTCCCCAAGATAGTAAGCAATGCGATATAGGTTAAACATGTGCAATCATGTAAAACATTTCCATATTAGTCATTTTGTACAGGAAGATGTAAGAAAGAAAGGAAGGAAGGAAGGAAGGAAGGAAAGAAGAAAGAATGAAAGAAAGAAAGAAAGAAAGAAAGAAAGAAAGAAAGAAAGAAAGAAAGAAAGAAAGAAAGAAAGAAAGAAAGAAGGAAAGAAAGAAAGAAGGAAAGAAAGAAGGAAAGAAAGAAGGAAGAAAGGAAGGAAGAAAGGAAGGAAGGAAGAAAGGAAAGAAGAAAGAAAAGAAGGAAAGAAAGAAGAAAAGAAAAAGAAAAGAAGGAAGGAAGAAAAGAAATAAAAACAGTATGCTTCAGTTTATATTCAGACAGTACCAGTTCTTTCTCTGAAGGTGGACAGCATGCTTCATCACAAGTCCTTTGGTATTGTCTTGGATCATTGTACTGCTAAGAATAGCTAAGTCACTCACAGTTCTTCATTGTACAATATTACTGTTACTGTGTACAATGCTCTCTTGATTCTGCTTGCTTTACTTTACATCAGTTCATGTAAACCTTTCCAGATTTTTTCTGAAATCATCCTGCTTGTCATTTCTTAGCATAATAATATTCCATCACAATCATATACTACAGTTTATTCAGCCATTTCCCATATGATGGGCATCCCCTCAATTTCCAACTCTTAGCCATCACAAAACGAGAAGCTATAAATATTTTTATATGAATAGGTCCTTTTTGCCTTTTTAGATCTCTTTGGAATAAAGACCTAGCAATGGATTAAAGGGTATGCAGAGTTTCGTAGCCCTTTGGCCATAGTTCCAAATTGCTCTCCAGAATGGTGAGATCAGTCACAACTCTATCAAAAGTACGTTAGTGTCCCAGTTTTCCCACAGTCTCTCTAACATTTGTCATTTTCCTTTCTGGTCATATTAACCAATCTGATAGATGTGAGGTGGTACCTCAGAATTGTTTTAATTTGCATTTCTCTAATCAATAATGATTTACAGAATTTTTGTATGACTACAAATATCTTTGATTTCTTTGTCTGAAAACTGTCGGTTTGTATCCTTTGATGACTTACCAATTGGGGAATGATTTGTATTCTTGTAAATTTGTCTCAAGTTCTCTATACAGTTGAGAAATGAGGCTCTTATCAGAGATACTTGTTGCAAAAAATTTCCTCCAGTTTTCTGCTTTCCTTTTAATTTTGGTTGCACTGATGTTGTTTGTGCAAAAACTTTATGATTTTATATAATCACAATTATCTATTTTACATTTTGTAATATTCTCTATATCTTGTTTGGTCCTAAATTCTTTCCTTATCTATAGATATGACAGGCAAATTATTCCATACTCTCCTAATTTGCTTATGGTGTCTGTCACCCATTATATGTAAATCACATACCTACTGTGACCTTATCTTGGCATATGATGTGAGAAGTTGGTCTATACTTAGTTTCTGCAATAGAGTTTTCTAGTTTTCCCAGCAGTTTTTTTTCAAATCATGAGTTTTTGTTCCAAAATCTTGGCTCTTTGGGTTTATCATATACTAGGTTACTATGGTCATTTACGATAATGTATTATGTACCTGATCTATTCCAGTGATCTACCACTCTATTTCTTAGACAGCACCAGATTATTTTGATAATTACCACTTCATAATACAGTTTGAAATCTGGTATAGTCAGACCATCTTCTTTTACTTTTTTTTTATTGATTCCCTTGATATTCTTGCCCTTTTGTTCTTCCAGATGAATTTTATTATTTTTTCTAGCTCAATGAAATAAATTTTTGTTATGACACTGAATAAATAGATTAAGCTAGGTAGAATTATCATTGTTATGACATTGGCTTGGCCTATCAATGAGCAATTAATATTTTTCCAGTTATTTAGATCTTAACTTTATTCGTGTGAAAAGTGTTTTATGATTATGTTCATATAGTTCCTGGATCTGTCTTGGCAGGTAGATTTCCAAGCATTTTATATTGTCTATAGTTATTTTAAATGGAATCTCTCTTTCTATATGACTACCTTTAAATAATCAAATTTAGATTTAGATTTATAAGCCCTATACACAGAAGTTTCAGTGCCCTTGTTTGGTAGTCAATGGATCAGCACCTCTATAATGTGAAATAAAGCTTTCTATAGATGATTCTCAAACTTAATGGAAACGTCATTTATTTCATTTATTATTATTCTTTAGTATCAGTTAAAATTAAATTCTGAAAATCTTGTGTAGAATTTTTTTAAACAGGAAAACATTCATCTGTTTCACATGATTTAACGTAGAAGCAGAAAGTTAAATCAGATGACTCTTTAAGGTCAATCAATCAAAAACATTTAAGAACTTCCCATATGCCAGACATTGTGCTAGGTTCTGGTGATACAAAAATATACACATATCCAAAATGCAAAATTTATACAAAATAAAACAAAGTGATTTTTTTTTTGAAGGGAGATTATACAAGATTTGGGGACTCAGGACATAGAATATGTAGTATGTGATCAACAGCAAGAAGGACAGTTTGAGGAGACAAAGGAGGGTGGGAGAATGGGACAGAAAAAGGGAAGGAAGGAAGGAAGAGGGAGGGAAAGAAGAAAGGAAAGAAAGAAGAAATAGAAGGAGGGAGGGAGGGAAAGAAGGAAGAAATAGAAGGAAGGAGGGAGGGAAGGAAGGAAGGCAGGAAGGAAGAAATAGAAGGAAGGAGGGAGGAAAGGGAGAGACAGAAGGAGCCACACAAGAGGTGAAATAATTTGCCCATTGTCACTAAAGCTAATAAGTGTCTGAGGCCTATTCTGAACTAAGATTTCCCTGACTCCAGGCCCAGCCCTCTGTCCACTGCAACATCTAGCTGCAATCCCATGACAGGGATCACATATCCATGATTATAAGTACATGGACAACAGGGAGGTAGTGGGACTGCACACACACACACACACACACACACACACTTCTTTGAAAAAAGTGAGATACTCACTACTGGATTGGAGTGAGCTGAAACTGTGCTAGCAGCAGATGGAGAACGAGAAACTATAGGGCTCATGAGTGGAGGCAAGGAGCCTCTGGCAACAATGAGCTGAACATCATCTTTGGCCTTCTGAAGGATGCTGATAGCCTGTTGGTGTGTTATTGTTTGATCAAGCGCATATCCATTGATCGCCAGTATTTGATCTGCTTCCTTCAATCTTCCATCTCTGTCAAAGAGGAGTAAGAGGAGGACAAAAATATGTGACAGCTGTCACTAAAATCGCCAGTGCTTCCAGACAGATTTCTAGTGTTTTTATTATCCCATTTTCTCTTTTCCACACTTTGTAATCTTCCTCCTGCAGTTCTTCGAAAGGAAGTTATTTGGGCCCTCTGGTAATTAGCTAGTTCTCTTTGAAGCTAATCCTACTGCCACTCCAGTACCCTATGGCTATCTCCTCCCCTTCAACGGCCTCTTCACACGGGTACCCATCTCAAGCAAAACATGCCCCCACTCAGATGCTCCCAGCTCAGCTTCTCACAGTCAAAGCCCTGTGTTTATCCTTGACTACGAGCTTCAGAGTTGATAGGACCCTATCAATTACTATGCCAGCACTCAATCAGGAAACTAGACTAAAATCTTATTTATATGAAGAAATGAGGTTGGGTTCTATAAAAACAGAACTCACCTGTATTTTCTAAAAACTTGACTCTATACCAGAAAAAGAAGTAAACATAAACTTTGAAAACTGTTTAGTGAGTTTTTCAGATCAATTTTTTTTTCTCTAAAAAATACTTTCGAGACAGACCTCTGTGGGAGATCCCTTACTGCTCTAAATCTATGCCATGATAATGAAGAAAGAGAAGAATTCGGTGTACTCGTGACAGGATTCGGGGGAAAAGTCTCACCTTTGTGCCACACTTCCATCTTGAATCTCTTGCACAAATATTCCCAGTTCACCTCTGTTTTCACTCTTCAGTCCCACAACACTAAACCCTAGGCCACCACTTGGAGGCTTAACAAGTTCAAAAATCTCTATAGGGCGACCCTGTTCAAGAAACAAACCAATCAAAAATTATGAAAAAGAGAAGCAAACCTCTTCAATGTAATAATATCTTATTTGTATGTCTTCATACCTTATAATATGTTTTACATATGTTAGTTTTTTTGAGCCTCACACCCTCTGAAGGATGTTAATATTGTGACCCCCATTTTCCAGATGAACAACAGGAGGGTGTAGCTCAGGGTGGATTCACTCAAAGGGCTGCACTTGACGATTTAGAGGACCACATGTGACTTCAAGGCTACAGGTTCTCAACTCCTGGTCTAGATGTTAAAAGACTTACCTGAGGTCACACAGACAGTTAAGCAACAGAGACAGCTTAGCATGTTAGCAGATATTTCATTTATCCTTAATAATATCTAACAGAACATATGAAAGGCTACAAAAATACCCAAAGGCAAATCCTGCAATTAAAAATCAGACACTCACTAAAAAAAGTCATCACAAAATAATTACTTTCCATTGATAGCAATTGCATTTAAATTCCATCTCCCTACCATCTAAAAATTCCCACAAAATATGTTCTTTCATCAATAAAATGACTCAGACATTTTTTACTTCACAATATTTAACTGAGAAAGGCCTTAATTATCTGAGGGCAACATATTCATAAATGCAAGCAAATGCTAATCGTTGTGAACAACAAGAAGTCATTTCTCACCTGTGCCATATTTTTGATTAGCTGATCAAATTCATCACCTGAAGGTTTCCCATTGATTTGAGGAGTACTGGATCCCATATGTGATTCAAAATCGCCATTATTTTGACCCAATAAATAAGATTCATTATATGAAGTAGGATGCCCACTAGATGCAAAATGTGGAAACTCACCAGTTGAAGATACGGATGGTGTAACATTTACCTGAGGATGACAAAAAGATTATTATGAACTTGCAGTCTTATATAACTGATTCGTTAAGTGTATCCGAAGAAGCTAGAATGCCCTTTTAAATACTTACATCAAGGATGTGTGATTTCATTGGTGTTGGCTAGTCCTCCACCAATGCAAATCTCAATCCCTCCATACCTTAGCAAACAGTCTGCTAATGTCACTGCAGCCAAAAAAGGAATCACCATGCAACTATCTGAGGACATTTTTCTCTCAACTTGTTTTGGCTGGTCCTTGTATGATAGACATCAATACAACCTGTTTTGGGGCCCTCACCTGAAGACTTCTGACTTTGGTGAGATGTATTAAAATCAGGGTTCTGCTTACATAGCCTTCAGGGTGATCATCACAAATAATAAGGTAATAATAAGGTCCTCAGAGGCCATCTAGAACAACCCCCTTCATTTTATAGATGAAAAAACAGACTAAATGACTTGCTCAAGGTCAAGTAAACACGAGGTAGGATTTGAACCCAGGTCCTTTGCCTTGTGCAGAAAACTCTTCAAAAAATGTTAAATAAATTGTATAGCAAGATCACATGAATGTAGAGAATTTATTTTCTGAATTAGTTTCCCTGATTTACTAAAACTTTCCTCAATGGATTCCAGGGACTGATATAGGGTCATAGATTTGGAGCATGGAAAGGGGATTTTAGAGATTACCAAGTCCAAACCTCTCATTTTATAAACTAGGAAACTGGGACTCAGAGAAATTAGGTGACTTGTGCAAAATCACACGGGTATTTAGTGTCCAAGGCAGTATTAGAACCTATGTTTTCCTGACTCCAAGTTCAGTGTTCTATCCCCTACACTATACTCTCTCTCAAAGTGTAAGCTGAACATTTGATGTTTGGGATATTGATATATGTCTCATCTTATTATATATTTTAGCTAAAGTACCTAATTTTTTTCACAAATGTTTATAAAGGGAAATAATGTTTTGTATATGAAGTTCCCAGGAAAACTCCAGGGTTAGAACCCAAATGATTGAATGAACCCAAAGTTTTGTCCAGATGACCAAAATAACCATACTTCATTACAGTCCTAATAGTTTATAGAATCAGAGAACTATAGACTTGAAGTTGGAATGGACTGATCCTTAATGGAAGAGAGAGTGAATGAAATGCCCTCTAATCCCCTAGGGATGGTTTGGGAAGACTAATCCAGATTGATTTGGTCTCTCACCTGAGAGTGAGGGCATGACTTGCAGTTGACCCCAGATCCTAAATCCCATCAGGGAGAGCTCCACATGGTCTGGGAAGCTCTGAAGGGACCAGGTTCCCTTCTGAAAAAGGAGGCTGGATTTTCTTTGCTTTTTCTTTTCTCTGCTGCCTTGGGTGAGAGAAAGGCCATTTCAAATTTCAGGATAGGCAAATGCTAAGTACTAAATAAACAAGTGGTATTGGATAAAATGTTCTTTGTTTGTTGACTCTTCATAACTGCCTTCAGGACAAACGGTGATTTCCACCTCTACATGTAGGGCCTTACATGACCTGTGCCACTTTGACTGTTTCGAGACTCTTCTTTATTGCACTTCAGAAAGCAAGAGGAAAGACACTGTTTATGCTGTCCAAGGAGCTGGGGGGACTTTTCTGATTTGGCAACATGGACAATGTTTAAAATGCATACAAGACAACTTACCAAGCATGGCAATTTTTTTTTAAATGTGAGGTAACGTGGTGGGGTGTAGAGGATGTAAACCTCATACTCAAAGCATGCTCAATATTTTCTGCCTGCTGCCAGCCTACATGGAAAAAAGTGAGGAAATGGGAGGGCCCTACTCCCCAAATGAGAGCATACCTATATATTCTGCCTGTTTCTAGTGTGATTAACACATGAAGAAGAAGATTTGATGCTGAGCTATAACTAAGCTGTAATTTCTTACCTGGAACTGACATGTGGCCCACAAATATAGCACACTGTTCTTTGCCTCTTTCCATTGTTTTTCTTTCCTGCTTTTGAGAAAAGAAGTTCTGCAGACAGCTATGACCTTGCGAGCTTTGAAAAGTCAGAATGGCAAACCACTAGAACTCCAGGAGCCAAAGTGTATGCCAGATTTTGTAGCCAATTGAGATGATGAGGAGTGAACAACTCAGCAACCTGCCTAGGAGTTATAGCAATTTACCTATGGGCTATACCAAATTTGAAAGTGAACTAGGGTGGAGGGAGAGCAGAAGGGTAAACTCTCTGTAGAACCTGCTTTCAGTTTGAGCCCACTTTCCCCAGAGACTGAGGATGTGGTAGTACGGGGAAGTATGCTCCCAGGTGTTGGAGGAAAATGTTCTTGCTATATCATCTTAGTAAATAAACCTTTGTGAAAGCTTAAAAAAAGAATTCCCCTCTATAAATCTGAAACAAGTGGGCATCCAACCTTCTCCTGAAGATCTGAACTGAGGGGAAGTTCGCTAATTCCCAAGGCAGCCCATTCCATTTTGAGGTCGCTCTAGTTACTCTGAAGCTTTTCTTTGTATATCAAGCCTAAATTTGTAGCTTTTGTCCATTGTTCTTAATTCTGTTCTCTCAGGATAAGCAGAATAAGCTGAACCTTTTTTCCATGACAAGTCCTTATAAGCAACTGATGGAAGCTATCATCCCCTCTCCTCCACCCCCAATTGCTCTTCTCCAAGTTAAACAGCCCCAATTCCTTCAACGAATCCTCTTTGTGGCATAATCCCAAGGCCCTTCACCATTCTGATCAACTTCCTCTCACTGTTCTTCAGTTTATTGTTATACTTCTTAAACTCAGCACTAAACATAATACTCTAAGAGTGCTTTGACCAGAGTAGAAAACAGTCAGACTCATAACTCCCTTGTTTTGGACACAATCCCTCTCAATGCATCATAGGAGAGTTAAATTAGCTCTCTTTTCCTGTCCCATCACACACATATCACATATCACACAGTCATAATAATGACTCACATTGAATTTGCAGCACATTAAAGCCACCTTATTATTTTTTGTCAAACTACTGTCTAGTTAAAACTCCTCCACGTTGTATCTGTGAATGTTTGTTTGTTTAGAATGTAGAACTTATTACTGAATTCCATCTTATTGATTTAGCCTAATGGTCTAACCTGTGTCAAGATCATTCAGAGTCAACCTTTTCAAAGTGGTTTGTGGGAAACACTTTTCTTTAGGTCACACAGATGTGGATGTCACAATGTAAAACTATGTAAGGATTAAGAGGGTACTCAGGAAACAGTGATGAGAACTAGAAAGAGAAGCCAGTCCATCAATAAGCATTTGTTAAGTGCCTACAGTGTGCCAGGTATTGTGCTAAGTAAGCACTGAAGATATAAAAAAAAGAAAAAGATAGCCCCTTCTCTCGAGGACATTACAGTCTAACAAGGGAGACAAAAATGCAAAGAGGTAGGTACAAACAAAATACAGACAAAATAAAACGGAGATGATCTGAGGGAATGTTTGTTGACTGACTTGAGAAGCAAATACACTGAAGCCTCCCTATAGCAGAATAAAGCAGAATCATGTCAATAGCTGATTGCCCTGATCTCCATACAAAATTTAGTTACTGAACTGCTCAAAAGAGTTCATTCCAAGCTGGTCTCACCTTTTTATATAGTGCTTTAGGATATGCAAAGTGCTGAACACACAGTATCTCAATTGAGACTCATGGCAACTCTGTGAGTTAGGAGCTACATTATTCTCATTTTACAGATGAGAAAACTGAGGTTCAGAGATACAGTCACCCGGGCAGTCACAAAACTAGCAAGTGTGAAAGGAAGGACTTGAACCTTGATCCAACACTCTAAGTCTCTGGATTGGAAGGAACAGATACAGCCCACATTCTAACCTGTATTACAGTGTTAATGAGGATCCAGTAATTGCCTGAAATGTCAGTGATTTTTGTCATCAAACATCAAACATGTTCTTTCAGTAGAGAATTCAAAATCAACACATGACTTCATTCCCTAAGACTTAACAAAAAAAGTAGGCTTGTTATACATCAGCTCTTGCTTTTTAAATTTTTTTTAGTTTGAGATATATCAAATTTGGAATAGTCAGATGGCAGAATCTATGCTAGGCAATATGGCACAGCAGATAAAGTAAAAGACCAGGAATCAGAAGACCTAGGCACAAATTCTGGATCTACCTCTTGCTAGCTAAGTGACCTTGCACAAGTTAATACTTAGGCTCTCTACACATTAGTTTATCTGCAGAACAGAAGTAACAAAGACGGTCCAACCTAACAGCATAGGCTGCTGTGAGATTCAAATGGAGGGAGTACGGGAAAGCACTTTATAAACTATTACAGGTGTTGAGGTGCCAGGATACTGTCTGGTCCTATGATTTGATCAGTCCAGGGAAGTCTCAGTGTGGAAGTTTACTCTACCTAATGAAGACCTGTAGATAAGCACCCTACAATTCCCCTGACTTTAGAGTCTTAAAGATATGACTAGAACACCGAGGTTAAACAACCTACCCATGGTCTCCCATACAGTATTTATCTGAGGAATGATTTAGGCCTTCCTGATGCTGACTGGCTCCATTATTACACCATTCTACCTCCAAATGTATTTGTACAAATATAATCATTATTTTATCGTTACACTCATTAATGCTATTCCTCCATTCCAACTCTTCCAACCATTCTAACAGAGCTCAACTTCTATTTCCTGGATTTCTTTGCCACCTCCATCTCAGCTTCCTTCTCATGCTAGAGATGCTGTCTCCTCTGTATCCTCTTCCTCTGACTGGTAAGTTCCTCCTTGGAAGTCCCACTTTGGAAAGTAGCCATGCTATCCAAGCTCACTTCCAACCTGACTCAACTTTTAATTCTCTATACTATTTTCTACCTTGCCCTCACACGAGTACTTTCCTCACATATTAAGCATTTAAGAAAAACTCACTCACTCATTTACTAACTCTATCTTCTCATTGTGGCACATACTGTGACTGCAGGTTCTCAAAGGCTATAAAAGTGGCACAAAAGCCCCCTCAGTCCTACCAAGGGG